ATCATTTAAGAAATTAATAAATAAATAAATTAATGATAATAATCTTTATAAATAAACAACAGCAAAAATAATAAATAATTTTCATTAGTTCTAAAAGCGATATATAAATTAATTAATCAAATTTAACTAATTATAATAATAAAATTAACAAGTACTAATTTTTTAGAATATTTACAAAAATAATTTATTTTATTATTTCAGTAAATATTTATTTAATTAAAAATAAGCAAAAAGAATCGAGTAAAATGATAAATAATCTTCACAAAATTAAAACCACCACCCCCCCCCCCCATGCCAAGTCATTTCCGATACTATTTTTTATTTAATAAACGTTTATTCTTAATTAAATAAAATTAGTTACAAATAATAAAAAACAAACGGACCATTGAAGTTTTCGTGGCGAGAACTAGATCTAGCGCGGGCCTTATGAACGTTAAGAAAGAGGAATTTTATTAGATCAGATTATAGAGACTGTGAGTCATGAAGTATAGAATGAAATATTGGGTACTGCGTGGGGCACTTTTGATCACATAGGAACACCTCATCTTAATGGATTATTATTCTTTGGTGTATATGCGTAACCTGTTCCAATGTGCTAATGGTTAATTCTTGAAATTATTTAAATGATGGGTAACAGTTCCATAACCGATATGTCAAAGAAAGCAAAAATAAATAATTATTAATAGATAAGGGAAATAGATAAGAGTTAAGGGACATGGTACCTTACATTCCTTGGTTCTTGCCAATCTGCTTACTTTTTACTTAAGAGCTGACATCATTACTGTCTAAGTCGCTCCGCTGTCTTGTCGTGTTAGACAAATATGCCAAAGAATCCCTTGGCGATAGAAATAAACAGAGATAGAAAATAATGTGACTCGTCCGATTTTTGGGCAAATTTGCTATCCTGCAATGGAACCTCAGCATCGGTATGCTCTCTCATTAATGTTATATAAATCCTAGAGCCAGGATGATATAATTGAAAAGTGACTCAAATCACTCACTTGAAAGAGTTCGTTGCCTGTCTCCGACATGAGTAAATTATATCACTAAAAATCCGATTATGCTAGCAACCACCTATACTACGTTAATATCCGCAAACTGCCAACTTTTCATAAGAATACCAATCACTTACATCCTGTATCTGAAAAAAATACATAAATTAGGAAAATTAGGACATTTTTTTATTCGAAAACCTTACCAGTCAAATCAGCCTTTCGAAAAGTGTTAATTTGCTCATTCTTAATTCAAATTGTTGAATTTTCATTACTTCCACCTATCACGACTTCATTTTAATGGAAAAATATCACGCAGAAAAACTATAGATTCTACTAGTTTTTATAGTTGATAGTGTCGCCAAATAGCGAAGATAATCATATAATTAATTGGATCACACACGTCGCACCCGCAACGCGTCTCAAAAAGATCATTGGATATTTAAGAAAAATTAGAATTAAAAAAGAGATTAAAAAATATCTCAAAATTATGGCAAAATATCTCGATAATGAAAGATACAAGGGAGATATTTTTTACTTTTGGAGAACCAATGATAAACAAACTCCCCTCCACCCATACCAAATATAAGCTCCCGAGAGAGCATTTTAGCCATCTTTGGGCTCTCGTCAGAGAGAATGGAGAATTGGATGGGAAATGGTTTGGGGAATGGCTTGGGGTATGGTTTGGAATCAGGAATGCGTTGGGTAGGAACGTTCGCGTCTGCGTCGGTGTTGTTGCGTCATTTCCTGCGCGCCGTTACCGAGTATTTCACCCAGCTCAATTAGATTTGCCATATGGGGACATCCATATGCCACGCCATTCGTGATTCGTTAATAATTTTGTGTTTTTTGTGCATATTACTTTATTATGTATTTATATTAATATTATATATACATTTTTTTTTAAGAATCCTCACCATTGTTGGTTAAACTCGCTCCACCGACTTGTCGCATTGGGCAATATGGAGTCCCTTGGCGATAGAAATACATGTGAGTCGCCAGCATCACCCGGATTTTTGTACAGATTCATTCCTGCAGGGAATCGAACCTCAGCATCGGCGCTCTCAATTGAGCAACAACCCACTAAACCATTTTATTCCCTACATTTTATATATATATATATATATAATGTATATTAATGGTTTAATTACCCAAGTCTGAGGGTGGTCCGAACATTCGCATCGAGATAATTATAAAGGGAACGCTGGCCGAAGAATTTACAATATTGTTGATAGATAAAAGTCCCGCGTGGCAGGAAATTGTTAAATATTATACAGACAACAGACAATGAAGCGGATTCTCGAAGGAATTTTTGTAAAAGGAGGCAGGAATCGCCATCCACATTCGTGTTGATATTTCTCTACAGATAGTTTGAGAGTCACAATATTTTCCATCTTATTTGCGAAAAGCTGAAAAAATGCTTTTATCAAAAAAAAAAACTTATTAAAGAGGAGTAAACTTTCAAAAATATCTTAACATTCATAAGTTTTATACCTAATCGAATCATATCAGAGGAAATTCCACCTCGAATGACAGCATTTATGAACGATTTCTTTCGATCGATAGAATCAGCAATAGGCATCGCATTGTAAAATCGTATTATTTGACTGGAAAACTTCAAGAACGTGATGCCATTTGCATTCCTATCGCCAAATAACTTTTCAGGTCACTGTACTAATAATTAAGCCGAAATACTAAGAGCCAATGTTTTGCTTCCTTTATAGGATCAAATAATTTTAATATCTTTTTTAATAAATATCGAGATAGTATGATGTTTTAGATCGTAAGACAGAAGCGGTGCAGATCATCCTCAATGTCAAGTTCAGGTCCTTACAAAATGACTGGAAGATTGAGGGTTCTGCAAAAAATTGTAGCTGTTCCTAGCAATGCGCTCTTCTGAACAGAAATCTCTGATAACGATATTCGGTTGATTAGCCCAGTTTTGTATTCATAAAAATTTTAACGTTAATTTTAACGAAAGTTATTTGGCGATAGAAGCACAAAACAATCGACAACATGCATTTATGAGAAGCAGATTTACTACTGCTAGTAAAATCCTCAGCATCGATGCTTCGAAATGGAAAACAGGAACCTCTCGAGCTATTCTATTCATATCAACGTGAAGTATTCATGGAACTTCTCTTATTCATTTAGAATGAGGATAAAATGGCTCAGTGGGTTGTTACTAAATTTGGAGCACCGATGCTGTGGCTCAATTCCTTGCAGGGGTAAACCTGTCCAAAAACCTCGATGATGTTGGCGACAAGACAGCGGAGCGAGTTTAACCAGTAATGGTGAGGACCCTTAAAAAAAAGAATTTTAGAATATTCCACATGCAACTAAACTAATTTTAAGATACTATTTAAGATAATTTTACATAAACTAATATCTTCAAACTAGAAAAGCGGCATTTTCAACAAAACTGTGGGAAAACCTCCATGGAAGTAAATCTATCAGCAGGAATGACTTATCAACTCTCTTTTCGTTGGCCTACTAGAATGAAATTCACCTTCGCCAAGGAATTATATAGAAGTACACGTATTTTACGCTGCTTCTGCAAATTACCTTTGGCTCTAGTAATATTAGGTCATTTGAAAAGGTTCTTCCTGAGATAGTTTCATATTATCGCATCCACCATTTTAACTCGAATATCGTTTGCGACAATAATCATCGTTAAAAAATCTACGCTGATTGTTCTTTGTCTTACATCGTGGAAACAAACGCTTTGCTAAATTCTAAATGGATGGGACTAAAACGGAAGGGGACCAATCAAGCTTGGATACGCACTGAAATCCTAGTGATACGAGATGTTTGAAGAGCATTGATTACAGTTATTTTCAGGTACGGCACGGGGTCGGAATGCTTGGAAACACCTCGGCCTTAATCACCAGAGCACTTAAAATTATTTGAAATTCATTTTAATAAACCCCTTCCCACAACCCCCCCCCCCCCTCTCCCACCACAATTACAAAAATACCTTTTTATAATTAAATTTCACCTTGTTAATCCCTTTCAGTTGTGTTTCAATATTCTGCAGCTTTCAGAAACCGACTATTAGCACACTTTTTAATTCAAAATTTATTTTAAAGGTGATAATTAAATTTTTATGATTATTAAGATAATTTTAAATAATTTTAGTAGTAGCGTAAGGGTTCCTTATTATTGCAACTAGTGGAACCATCCTGTTTAATAATGTTGCGGATTACTGGAAAAAGAGGGGGAAAAAGTTAAATGTCCTGGGAAAAGGAAATTGTGCACTAAATTCTATCTTTTATTAAATAATATTAAATATATATAAATTCATTGTCAAAATTTACCTATTTTCGTGCAATTTAACTTCTTCATTTTTCTAACTTTTTATTATTGTCGATTTTTTTATATTTTTTCAATTTTTCGTAAAAGAAATTTTTTTTTTTCATTTGCAGTTGAAATAATGAAATTTTATCGTTTGGTTCACTTAATTATATTTTCGCTAATCTATTTTTAATTTATTTCGTCATTTTTTTATTTTTATTGAAAATTTCTGAGAGCAAAAAAGAAGAGAAAAGAGAATTTTTTTTTTGACGACAACAAATGGATCTCATTAGTTTTATTATTGCGATTTTAATATTTTTATTATTATTATACAGGTATTTCAATATTTTTTGCTCTTTTTTAAAAAACCTTTCAATTGTTATTTATTTTCTAATATTTTTATAAAAATTCAAAGCAATATTATTTCCATTTTTGTTCATTGAAAGGAGTAAAATTGTTGATAAATAAAAGTGAAATTCGTTTAATCTTCGATTGGATTTCTTTGCGAAAAGTTTTCAGTTTATTAGCCAGTGGATCCAAATCGAAAATAGCGCATATGCTAAGGAGGAAAAAATGAAAATAAATTAAATCGATAAATTTATGAAAAATTAAAATTTTTATATAAAATTTTTATAAAAAATTTTTTTTCATTTAATAAAATTTTTCATAAAAATTTTTCTATTCATTTTTATGTAAATTCGTCTTTTTTTCAGATATATCGGATGGGTAATATCGCAGTTAATTGCGAAATATTCGGGTTGTACATCGGTGTATCTTGGACGTTGTGGTTTTTTATATATAACACATATAAAGATTTGTCTACAAAGTGGTTTGATACTTGAAGTTGACGATTTACGTATATCAAGCAGTTTTTTTAATGCCGAATTCTCGTAAGTCTTTCATTTTTAAACATTTAAAATATTACTATATTATATTAATAACGCTAGTAGAAATATTTATCCCTTGGACATGGACAAACAGAAATCTCTTCCCTCTTCCTGTCTGGTATAGTACCATTTCTATTTAATTTCTATTTCATTATGTTCTTTGTATATTCTCTATTGAATTTAGTTTGATTGTTTTCATAGTAGACAAATCCCTGTAATTCTCCTCAAGTACATCCAAGTTCCACAGTATGTACTCTTTCTATAACTTATACTACCGTTGTGTTACCATTTGCGATCGTAAAATTTGTAGACGCAGTTGGAAACTACTCCGCAAAGTTTGATTGAACTTTGAAGGAATAAAATGCTGGTGGGTGTTTTTAAGAGAACAAAAATTAGCATTAGAGGATTGATGTGGCAAAAAATCTGAGATATGGCTATCTAAGTTATGGATGAATTTTTTTTTAAAATGCCTTCACCATTACTGGTTAAACTCGCTTCAGTGGCTTGATTGTCGCACTGGATAAATATCCCAAGGAGCCCCTTAGATAGAAATACAGGTGAGTCGCCAGCATCACCCGGATTTTAAGACGGGTTTACTCCTGGAGAATACGGCCTCATCATCGGCGCTCCGAATTGATCAATAGCACACTGAACCATTCTATCCCCATAAGTTATGGATGAATATAAGCGAAAGTATGCAGCATGGTTTTAAAAATGTTAAGGGACTCACTCACCTATTATGAGAAGTTTTTTTTCACAAAATGCGAGTTTTATAAGATATCGGAGAGTTTCTTCAAGGAGCATAAAAGGCATATTGAGCTCTTAGGAGGTTATTAAAGATGATTGTCCAAGGTAAATAAAGGTCGCACTGATTAGAATTAGGTTATTGGAGACTGGCACTGGGAGATAATGAGACTTCAAGAAGATTAGGAAATATAATGGGGATTGATTGATTGATAAGAATTTTTGCAAAATATGGTAGATTTTGGAAGAAATACGTAAACACACCAACATTTATATCGATAAAGTTGGATAAAAATAATTTTAGAATAATTTTGGACCATTTAGTTTCTTTCCACTTTAAAAAATTCAGTTATCTTTACTTCGATAAAATTTAGAAAAATATAGAAAAATTGCAAAAAATAATAGAAATAATAATAAATAAATAAAATATAATAAATAATAAAAATAATAATAAATATAAAAAAAATTATAATTTAAAAAAGTTTCTAGAGAATTAGCAAAAATTTTTTCTACGGAAGTGTTCATAAGTGTTCATTAAATAATTTTGATCTAATGACATCGGCATTTTCCATTATTTTTCCAATTTAGAAAACCGTTGATGGTATTGGCAAATGACGTTCGTATTGAAGGTGAAGGAGAATGGTATAAAAAATTTAAGTTTAATCTGAAAGATGGATCAAAAAGAATCAAATTACCGCAAAATACTGAGAAGCATTCAAATTGGTTACAAGTTCGTTTTTGTTATTTTCAGAAATTTCCATCTTTTAATTTTTATGATAGTCGAATTTAAAGAAAAGAAACAAAGAAACTTCATGTTTTCAAGAAATTTTTCTCAAATCATGCATACTATATTTTAAATCATTTTTATTATGCATTTGCACCAATATTAAATAGTTCATCGAAAAGTATTCGATATGAAAATTTATATAGTATATTGGTACGATTATTCGTACTGCTCGAGTGGTTTACCTCGATCCAATGCCAGGATGTTTGCTACATTCAACGTTTGAAATGCTGCAAATGGAGACGTATCGTGATCGCGATGGGTAATTCCACTGAATAATTCCTTTGCAATGTTTATTAAATTTCTTTCTTCATTTTTATTGTAAAAAACTAAAAAATTTATCTGCAGTTGCAATGAAAGTGCCGCATTAATAATATTTATATTGTTTACAATAACAATGATAAATATTTTATAGAATGCAGTTAGAATTCAGTTGTCGTTTAGCGCAGGCTAAGTTATTGAGTCGTGGTCGTGCTAATAATGCAGTTCCTCTCTCGGAATTATCATTAGCTTTCCAAGTTTCCATCGATATCTTTCTGTCGAGTTTAAAACAGAAACAATTAAATGTGGTGCTCAGTAATCCATTAATCTTCCTTTCTGACGGTTTGTATTGATCGTTTCCCTTAATTGATCGATCGCTTATAAAATTCATTTTAAAATCGGTATTAAAAAAAGGCAATTTAGGTTTGTTTGAATATCTTGAAGAGCATCCAATTTTATCGAGTGAAAGGAAAACAGTTTCAACAAAGGCTGGTCTTCGTTTCAAGTTGCGTTATTTTCTCCAGCTATTTCCAAATTTAAAACTTGTGGTGGAAAACTTGACGCTTCGATTTATCGCTTATGCTGAACTTGAGGCAATGACGTGAGATTTTTTGGAATTGTCATTTAAGCTTTTGCATTTTTAGAACCACGATTTGAATTATGGTTCCACATATTTTATGTCCTAAAGCTCTAAAATTTTATGTTGAATTATATTATGATTAATGCTTTCGCTGCAACATTTAGATTTTATGTAGTTTTAATATATAGTTTGATGTTCATTTTTTTTAGGCGTACAGTTTCTGTATCTTTGACCAGCTCAGTGATTTCAAAAGAGGGCAATGATCACCTTTCAGTTGTTTTAGCGACTGTAGTAATATCCGATCAGTGGTCTCATTCTCAAATCAGTTGCTCTGATTTCGTTATTAATTTAGCTGTAATTTTACCAACATTTTATTTATACTTATTTTACTTTTAAATTCCTAGATATTAGAATTATAGCGAACAATTCAAAAAACATTTCAGAAAATCTCGCAACATGAGAAAGATAATATTCAGCAAATATCGTTTGATATACGTGTTTTCAATTTATCATTAAACATTTGGGAAAATGATCTGGCAGCTTGGATTCAATATATACGTCAAATTAAGATCCCTGGGACGTCTCAATATAGTTTTGACGATGATTTCTCGTTGATAGGAATTTGTAAGTCTTTAATATTCTTTTTTATTTTTTTTATATTTATATTTATTTTAATGTTCTAAAATTTCAGTGAAAGTTTCGTGTATATGTGAAAAGTTTTTGAATTATTTCACTTTCTGGATGAATTTATAGCATTTGTCTTCAATTACTTTTTAAAATTAAAATTTAATATCTTTTAGCAACAAAATTCCATTCTATTAAATTGTAAAAGTAAATCCTTTCATTACCAATTCCCAAGATTTTTTTTTTTAGGTGAAGAGAATAATCGTTCAACGAAGGGTGGCACCGAAGAGGAAGACATATGTATTTCTATTTCTGCAGACGTAGATGCATTGACTTGTAATCTCCTTTCAATTGATGGGCGTAATATTGATATTAACATTGATCTAATAACGTTCAATGGCGATGGTGTAAGTTTTCTCTCAATTCCTTCTATTTATTGGTAAATATGCGAAAAGATGTTAAAGGACAAAAGAAGATATTGTAATGTTCTCTATTTTTCATCTGATTTAGAGTTGTGCCAAATTATTTCTGGAGGAGACAAATTTTCTCAATAAATTAGAGAGTTGATCATTAAGAGTTGCCACTTCACTTTGTCTTTTTTTAGTGGCTTATTATTTTTTACAGAATTTCAAAAACATTGAATTTGGCATGGAATATTTATTTGTACGTTGTGGTAAGCATGCTGATAATATCAAATTGTTTTCATTTGATCGGCATGTTTGGGGTACAGTGATGATGATGGGCGCTGTGCTTGTGCAGGTATTTATTCATTTATTTTCTTGTGATTTGATGGAATTTAGATCTTCTTTGATATGATTTGCCGAAATTATTTTGTTACCTTTTAATGAGGTTATATAATTAATAGTCGTTATTTAATTCAACTATGAATTCAGTTCTTAGAAATGCCATCAACAGTAGTTAATTGGTTTTAAAAGCGATTTTATTTTGAATATATTTTTCGAAAAATAAATTACTAAAAATTGCATAAATATCGCCAGTTTCCTTTGTCAGTTAACACGAACGAATGAACAAAAAAGCTTGCATATAGAAATGGATGAATGTCATTTAGAATATGAAGATCAGTTCGCTAAACAGGTGATAACTTGTTTTTTCTAACTTATTTTGTAAATATTTTTATTTTACAATTTTGAATCATAAAGAAGGAATTTATCGCTATTTAATTTTATAGATGGCTTCATTTATTGGTATATTTATACCTATGAATTCATCCCTTTCATCTTGCACCGATTCTTGGTCTCATATAATTTCTTCTTCAAATCCAATTAATCAATTAGCTGTGCATCTTTCAATCCAGAAGTATTTCATTAATTTATTGGACTTATAAAGAAAAGTCTGTATTAAATTGTTACTTTTAAGGTTGGAATACTTTAAATTTCAGGTTGGTCTTGTTCCTTGCTGCTCGTCGTACACATTTTATCGTTGCTACTGCAAACAAAATAAATGCTGCTTCACTGATGGATTCAGCAATCTTTTCTGTTTTGATTGAAAGTCTTCGTTTTGGTAAAGGATCGGTTCAAGGAAGCGAGACATTTTGCTGGAATCAGGATGGTGATATAATATCTAAATACCAGGTTTTGGCACTAATGAAATCGCTTCTTAATTCGTATTCTTTTTGATCGAATTTATTTTTATTTTTCTTTCATGGTTAGTTTATTCAGTGCGGTTATATCAATCGTTTAATGATTCGGTGCACGACATCAGATTCAACTAGAGAATTTTTCTTTAGTATTGATTCTTCTATATGGATGGTCTGGTATCCTATTGTTCACCTAATTTTATTGGAAGCATATAGGTAAGGATTTATTTGCACTTTGTTATTTTAATTATTTATATGGATTAAAAATTTTTCCTTATAAGTAGTTCATTCCATCCTTCAGAAATTCTCCATCATTTTGAGACTAAATTTTGCATTTTTTTTTACGAAGTTAGCAATTTTTTTGCAACAGGATACTTTTCTCTATGGATTTTTGCGGGCAAATGATAAAAATTATTTTGCATAGAAACAAATATGAAATCTTGGACTGGTTTATCGGAATTTTTTCTTTTATAGCCATTTTTTAACTTTTTTCAAAATACGCTAATTGACTTATTAAACGACTTACTATACGGTTATATTTCAATAGAAGCGCAAAGGCCATCAGTAAACAATATTTTCCATTGAAATCAAAACCGGATATTAAGCGACGATTATTCATAAGTATCGATAGTAATCATCCTGTAACATTAGAATTTCATCTTCCACAGAATCATATGTTAGTCTTTCTTCAATTTTAAGCAATTTTATGATATTTTTTGTCTTATTTCCGATATTTAAAATTTTTTCAGTATGCGATGGGAGGCGCCGTCATTGCATATTCATAATAATGACGGATTTTTTTTCTCTATGCCTGTCCTTGTTATCTCCTCAGACAATAATAAAATACTTACTATTACGGTATTTTCTTATTTTCAAGTTATTTTCTTGGAAAGAAAAATTAGTGAGAATTTTTCTTTCTCATTTTTGGGGCTTTTATAGAAGAATTTGAATATGAAAGGAATCCGATTATGAATTCCTCATTCTTTTATTCAGAAATTTATGCTCAAACTTATCCAATCGTCTTAAGAATAAAGGTGAAAAAGTTCAAATTATTTCGATCAGTGTTTCGTCATTTTTGAAAATTCACAAAGGACGGTTATCATTTCATCTTGTTTGGGTGTCTTTTTCAGAAATTTTGTGTACAGCAGAAATCGATAGAAGCACAAATGGATTTGGGTAGAGCTGAGTTCAAGAATTTGCACAATCGCACAAATCGGGTTTGGATGTGGGCAGCAGATTCAGTAGATTTTCTTTTTCCATATAATTATGATTTTGCTGCTGCTTTTGATGAGGTTAATACCATAATATAATCTTTAGAACTTCTGTCATATTCTGGCTTATTGATGTTTTTTACTGATTAATCTTTATATAATCAACTTTCGCTTTCTCTTAGGCTTTTCCAGATAATTTACTTCAGTTTCGTAATTGTAGCCAGACAATATACGTTTTTATTTATTATTTATTATACTTTATAATAGTTGTATGAAGAATTTCATATTTATTTTCAATTGAAGCTCATCAATGCTTGGAAATGGATAAAAATTGTGCATAATCTTATTCCCAGAGCATTTACAATTGATTCACCACTACCGTCAGATTTATGCTTTTCCATTAAGGTCTGAAAGAATTTTTTCTCGTATATTATATTTAAACAAGTTTATTTAAGAAATATATTAAGTTCAATATTATAATAGTTGTATAGTTTATATAGTTCAGTTATACTGGTTGTATTTAATGCAGTAATTTGATAAAGTTTAGAAAGCGACTTTGCAATTAAATGATGATCCTTTCGAAGTGCAGCTACAAACGAACTATGAATTAATGGTTGATGAAGCTTATGAATGTGAACGGCGCAGGCAAATGTTGGATCAAAAACTTGAACAACTCCGCAAAGCTCATCCTTTTCTGCCTCGTAATTTTTGTGATCTCTTGATTAGAATGAAAATGATAGGTTTTGAAAGCCGGAATTCGGCACTAAAAATTTTTTTTAAAATTCTTATCTTAGTGATTTTATTGTATAATGTAAATTTATCTTAGTGATTTTTATTCATATTTTTTTCTTTATTTATCAAAATGATGGTTAAAAATTAAAATTTAATTCAACTTTAAGAATCGAAAATAGATGAGTTGCTGAAATCTTTGGTGAAAAAAAATGCTGAGATCTACATTGAACGTTCGCGAAAAACTCAGACTAATCGAGATCATTTATGTATTTGGACAGTATCTAATCTTTCTGTAAGTTTTTTTGTCAAAAATTTCATCAGTTTATTTTTATTTTTTTATCAGTTTATTTTTATTCTTTTCTTATTATTATTAAATCAGATTCGCGCATATGCTGATTCATCTCTCCATGGCAAGGAAAATGCTGTGAAGTATCTACGTTTATTCAATCCTGAAGCGTTAGTTTATTTTATTTCTTTTCGATTAACGTCATTTTTGAAAAATAACTCACTTTCTTCATTTTAATTAATAATCCTGATTATAACATGATGAATAACTTCAGGCCATTCCCCGAGGAAGGAATGGACTTCAGTACGTTGTGGGCTAGAGCCGTCGAATTGGATTGCGGTGATTGTGTTATACAATTAAGAGATTATCCTATTCCTTATATGGTGATGAAAAACAGTCATTTTTGGGGGCATTTGGTTGGTGCTGAACAACTTGCTGGTTTGTTTCTTTTCTTTTCTTTTTAGCTGCCTTATTTTGTTACCGATCAGATATTTTTCTTAATCGACTTTTATTAAGGTTAGAGCTAATTAATGTTTTCTCGTTTTCTTCTTTTGATTCATGAATTGTATAATTTATTTTAACATCAAATGGAAAAAAGAACGCATTATTATAATGATTTATCAGGAAATCGGTCAATTCGGCATTGTACTGTAAATCTGCCCGAGCCTTGGGGCGAATATATAGTTGACAGAAATATGTGTCCGCTGAAATTCTATTATGATCTCGAATCTGGTATGGTTTTTCAAAAATACGTTTGAAATCACCGAATTGTTAAAAAATTCGCTTTAAATGATTTGATGCTGAAGAAAGATCAACTTTATAATTTCAAATATAGATATGTAAGGTTTGAAATTTCTGTTGCAAAAAGAAAATATTTTAAGGAATTATTTTAGAAATAATTATTTTAGAAATAAATGAATTCAATTGCACTTATGGACCATGTTGGGAACCATGTTTATCAATGATTAGTTTATCTTGGAACAATGTTCATGCAGTATCCAAGTATTTAATTTTTAATTATTTCGTTCTAATTCTTTTGTTAATTTATTTTAATTTCAATTTTAATTACAATATTAACTTTTTATTTTACATTCTTTAATGTCTACAGTTTTTTTTAGAATTTACTTTTATCCTATTAATTTGTTTTCAATTTTTAGAGATTTAAGCGCGCCACTGCCTTTTTGGGACAAAATTCGTTTACTTTTACATGGCCGCTTATCAGTTTTGTGTAAAAATATGGTCACTGCAATACTTGCATCAACCGATCCCTATAATTCTACTGAATTTGTCGAAATTTCATGGAAAAATTTGGAATTTGATTGGACTACTGGTATCTTGCTTTTTATATATATGGTTGTAACTGTCCTAGATGAAAGGGATAATTTAGTGCACGAAAGCTTTTCATTTTATTAGTAAAATTGGTTTCGTTTCACTCAATACTACTTGGATCCCCATATCTCTTGGCATCCTTTCAGATTCCGTTGTATTTCTTTGGCTCCTTGGCTACTTCGAATTCTCTTTTCACTCCTTTTTTACCCATATTTAAACACTTATATTTTTGAAATATTTATTGTGTATGTTGTTTTCAGTAACCCCGAAGTTCTTTCGTATTCTTTTATATTTCATATTATTCAATTATTGATCTTTCGGAGAGAAGTTATTGCAGTCTAAGTTATCCATAAAATCAGAATTAAAAAAATTATCAACAAACCCAGCAGCATTGGAAATTCGTAAAAATCAGAAAAAAAACATTGATGAAGGAACAAAAAGAAACAAAAATTTAATGAAATATTCAATTTAATAAGGTTATGAATATCTGGACCAGATATGTAGCGAATTTTGAGGTGATTTTAAGTTATAACGAGGCGTTGGTTAGAGAAGTGTAGTGTGGTTTGATGCGCTACTAATAGGAGGTTATGGCGATATGATACGGGATGGTTTTAGAAAAACTTGGACTGATACGGTCAGAAAAGATTTTGAACGTATTGGTGGGCCAGCAATATATGGACTTAGATAATGGAAAAAGGAATGGCTTCTATTACTGTCGACCATAGCTGAACCGCTGAACCGCTTGGAAGCGTCTTACTCTTGTAGCCGTTGGAGCCAGCCTAGCAAATAATGGTGAAAGTTGTTAGAAGAAGAAGTTTTAGAAAGGATGGTAAGAGAAATAACTTAGTGTGAGGAGGTTCAAAATTGTGCTAAGTTTTAGAGATTCTAAGAAATTTTGCATAATAATTATAATAAAAAAGAAAAGAAATTTATTAGGAAGCTGGATCTGAAGGGATAATTTTAATAAAAATATGGAAAAAAATGCAACGGCAATTTTGTGGTATGTTGAAAGTAACGTAACGTAATCTTCGACGAAGTGCTTATTAGGATTTGTGGTTTTTTAAAATATAAGTAATAAATTTTTGGGGATAACATAAGATTTCATTTCATTTCATAATGTTTAGGCCAAGATTTGCCAAATTGACCTCTACCTTTTTTGTTTCACACATATTGTAACTCACAAATCACCACAAATAGTTTAATTCATATGTCTGATATCCTTTATATTTAATAATATTTATATTATGTTCATATTTTCGATTTATCATTAATTTTTCGCATTTACAGGCCAGTTTTGTGTTCAAACAGATGTAAATGCTTTCGTACGAACTGCCTCAAAATATGATGAAAGTCGAGTACTTCATTTACCGGGTTTAAAATTTAGTGTTCAGATTATTTGGCATTGTTTGGGCGATCCTCAAGATCACCATAATGCTCATCCATGTGCTCCCAATAAATTGCCGGATTATTCTTCTACTAATCTGGTTATTTTGATTTTAATATTTATTTGCAAGAAAAAAATATTGTTAGTTCAATTTTCATTTTAATTTCCATATATTAAATGATATGTTTAGTAGTAAATTTAGGAATAAGTGGAAAATTTAAGGATTTTTGCATGTATAATTTGCCAAATATATAGGAGCATGATTCGTATCGAGCTTTCCGTTCAATCAATTTTGACTTGATTTTTAATTTGGAAGTTAAACCGCGGAATAATTTGATGTCGGATAATCAATATCCGCATATTTTATTGTATGCAAATACTTTCAGTTGGTTGGAATTCCTTAAGGTTATTTTTTCCAAGATGCCGACGATTTTTTTATCTTTTCTTTCAGTTTTTCCATTTCTATGTTCTAATTTTCTTTGATGATTAACTTCCTTTTTTTTTTTATAGAATACAATGACTACATTGAATAGGCCTGTTAAACGAGGATCGTTGTTTGGCACTAAACCAATAAAAAAAATTCAATTAAGTCAACATTGCAAGTGAGTCTAATGTTTTGTAAATTCTGTTTTGCTAATGTATTCATCCAGAAATTGACAGTTTGTCCTACTGTGTGAGTCCGTTTTTGGCTATTACGCATTTGATTTAAAAAATTTGATGTTTTCTTAATAGCATTTAAAAAAATCGTCAATGTATTTTTATTTCGACAGGCATATACAACTTAGTTTGTCGTTGCCACGATTTTTAATTTCTTATTGGATGTCATTTTCATCTTCCCATGGATTTCGAATGATAAGTGAGAGCCTTCACTTGACATCATCAATGGAACTTCATATTTTATCATTAGAAGACCCAAAGGTTTTTCATTTTTTTTAGCGAATATACGAAAGTTTACCGGCTTTATAGTCCTCTTTAATTATTTTTTGGCTAATAAATATTTTTTTGATTTTTCTTATATCTTATTTTATTATTTCTTATATCTTTTTTTATCTGCAGAATTAATTTTGCAAGGAAATTTTTCGTGTCCATGTAATGAAACTGATAACTTTGGAATTATTTTCTGGCATATATGTTAAATCTCTTATAGAATGAGGTAATGCGGCGACAAATTTCTAAATGGTCCGTTTCCCATGTTTCTGCTCAGTTAATTAATGCACAAATACATTTGTTCGGTGATAGTTCTCAACCAATGAATGAGAAATTTGCAACGAAGAGCAACGATGATTCCTTCTTCATAGGGCTAAGTCGACTTTCCTATATCCGTGAAGCTTCCCATCAAGTAATTATTATACTTTATGGACTCCACTGATTAAATCTTTAATTGACTTAGTCGTTTTACCTGAAATTGTAATGTTATTTGTTGTTTTATCCAGTTTACTGCCTATTAGTTGAACTAGTTGATCATGAGGCGTAATTCAGAATCGAAACATGGGAAAAAATACTACACATAATAATTTTGAAGTCGGAATAGCCGTTCATCGGATAACAATATATGATTTACGTGCATCTTGGACACCGGAAAATCGTGATACATGCCTAGCAATCGCGGATGGAATACATAAAGCTCATATTCTTCGAAGGATATTAAGCAATGACATCATGAAAAATTTGCATGTTAGTGTGTATGTATATATATATATGTCTATGACAACTCCCAATATTTTATATCCGACTTCAGATTTCTGAGGCAATAATGGTTCTTTCTCATTTTATATTCTTTGGCTTTTTATTTTCATTTCCACATTTATCAGGAAATTAATATTCTATCAAATAATAGGTAATAGATGATAATAAAAATAAATAAATGGCATTCTTTTGAAAAATCTTTATAACATTTCATAGTTTAGCATTTTGGCCGATCATATTTAAATTCGGTAATGAATTTTAATGCTGAATTATATCAGATTAATTATTCATTGAGCTAAAATTAAAGGTGAAAATAGATGAGACCGGTCCTTCACATCCTTTTGCTAATCGTGGTGTTCCAGTAAGCAGAAATAAACAAAAAACTGGTCGATACACATCAGATTCCGACAAGAGCCCACTACGGTAATTTTTCCAGTGATTGATCTATTTTTTATCGAAATATGTTTCGAAAAATAAATATTTCAGTTCACAATCGCATTTCGATTCAGATGGTCGCATTTGCGATGAAAATGATATGTTACAGAAATTGATTGAGGAAGCCGAAACAAAATTGGTTGCATATAGTGAAGAGGTTTTTTACTGACAAATTGTATAGTCTGAAATACCGTCGATAAAAATGCTAAATATCAATAATAAATATATGAAATAAATTCAGGCAACTGATCTTCCTTCCGATCAATTGCATGGTATTGCTTTATGCAGCACAGATGATGTTTTCTTGCTCGATTGGCAAAGTAAATTTTTCATTTGCAGAGTGTAAAACATTTATGTAAAACATTTTGAATATTTTTGCTCATTTTTTTTTTTATATTTGTCTATTTAACATATTTGTTTGTCTATTTAGCATATACCTTGTTTAATTTCCAATTTAATTATTTTCAAGCTTTAAAAATCTTGTTTATTGCCATCCATGTAAAGCATTTTATTTTTTTAGTTGATTTAATTAACAGTCAAGCCATGTTACGAGGCAAAGGAAAAAATGGCTTTGTTTTATTGACAGCAGCTAGAGCTTCACTAATGCAACGTTTACATCTGCCTGTCTGGAAAAAATCTCAGTTACTGAGCAAAAAGTCCTGGTGTGCTGTACTTTCTGGGATGCAAGTGTGTTTTATTTATTTATCTACCCGCAATTTATATTCTTATCTTTTGAAGAATTTGAGAGTTTATAGAGCAGATGAATTTTACGGGGAACCCCTATCATTACTATCAATATTTTGTACTTGTTTTTTTTAGTATTTTGCACCTTTACTTCTGGTGCAACCAACTAATCAAACATCTTCAACCACTGTATTACTTAATGAACAGTTTCACTGGTTATCAAAAGAGGTTATCGAGGAGAAAACTTGCAGCGATCCAAATATTAACGATCGGCTTGATAATTATATTAGCGCAGGCGAAGCAGTTGGTGGAGTAGTTTCAGGTTGTTCATTTTGTTTCATTATATTTTTGCACAGTCAGCTTTCAAACATGTAGATGGTTAGTGGATATGGTGTTCAACGCAAATCGAACATACCACTTGATTTTCTCTGCTTTTTCTTTAAAAAATGATATTATTTCGAAAGTTGTTTCAACATTAATCCATATCTAGACCAGAGAAACGTCACCGACAATGAAGGGAAAGCGCAGCTTCAGAGAGTTGTATCAAGGTGTAGTTGCCAAATTTATTTTTGTTATTTTTCGGATGCTTTAGAAATGGATGCCTATAAAGTTCCATTGCCGGTAATTTTTCATGTTCAAAAATTCTTTTCTTTTTGCCGAAAATTTTTGTTCAAATGTTATATCTGAATGAGACTTTATAGAGTGGGACTAATGCAGATGATGAGAATGAAATATGGACTGGGCGAGAGGGTGTAGATTGCTTTACTTTGAAGCACAATATGCTGGAAGTAAGAAAAGTTTTTTGGTATTTTTTTTGAATTTGCATTTTTTCATTCTTTCTCGAATATGCCATTATCAATTTACAGGTAAGCACTAATCCTCAACAGTATGAAATGGCCATGAATATAGTGAACCAACTTGTTCTGTTTGTCGACCCTCGAAAGAAAGAATCTGAGGGGCGTCGACAGCGACTAAAATTTCAATGGCAATTAAAAAGTTTGGACGAGGTTCGATCAGCGATAACTGCGATGCAGGTATTAAAATAATTATTCGCTATTATTTCTGGATTATTTTATTTCTGATGGTAGATTTTTAAATTTTAGATGTCGAAGTAAGGTATTTATCATTGCTAACTACTATTTGAATCCATGTTTAGGCAGAACTGCGTGACATAATCGCTGTGATTCGTTCATTAGAACGACGTTCTTTCTTTCTAAATAGGCAGCTTTTGGAAACTCCAAATGATTTCACGTAAGGATTTTCAAACATTTAAGAAAGTTTAGCTAATTATCATAGAAAGGTATCGGCTTTTATTCCAAAAGTTTTGGCTTACTGCCTATTTTGTAGACTTATTTGTCTATGAAAGCGAAAACGCTTTGTTTCAAATAAAAATTCGATTTTCCACATTCCTGCTTATTTATTTTGTTTACTTTAAGATTGCTTGAGGCAAATAAAGAAATAACAATGGAAATCGAGGAGCTTAAAAAGAATCAAATAACCGTAAGCGATGAATTGGCTATGACAATAAGGTTAATTATTGAAACCCTTTGGCTAATTGTCATAGAAAGGTATCGGCTTTTATTCCAAAAGTCTTGGCTTACTGTCCATTTTGTAGACTTATTTGTCTATGTTCGCTCTGTTTCAAATAAAAATTCGATTTTCCACATTTCCACATTTTAAGATTGCTTGAGGCAAATAAAGAAATAACAATGGAAATCGAATTTAAATTCATTTATTTTTCTCCCTTTTTATTTATGGTCTTTTTTAAGCTGTTATAAAGAAAAACAAGTAGAGCGGATGCGACAGCTTGTCGATCTAGCTGAAGACGAACATGCACTTGTTGCTAGAAGGTTAACAGTTCATGATGAGTTTTTCGCTGATATGTTTGTAATAGTTTGTATAATTTAGAAATATTTGCTTCAGATTTGAAGTGTGTTTCGAAGATTGTATATGGCGGCTTACAGAAAGTGATGGACAGATCGCATTAGCAGAGATGCAAATTCGAAATTTCCTGTTTGTTTTATTTTACTATTCTACCATCTCTTCTTGTTTAAAATCTGTCTACTTGGATTGAAAAGGCTTAATTATTTTATAAAAAATCCACGAAATCGCGAAAAATTCCCTAAAAATTGTCAAAAAAGCCTTTATATATCTCTTAATTTTTTTGTTTTTGATGGCATATTGAATATATCAGTATAATCGATTGTGTGATAATATTCTAAATCATATTTTTATTATTTAATCTGAAGTATTCTAACAGAAAGGGAAAGATTTAGGTATATAATTATTTCTGTTTTTTTTTTTTCAAATATCTTTATTATGCATTGTATCCGCCTTAATCGAATAATTATTTAGATATACTAGGACAGCGCGAATTGATAATTCTGGGGAACATCTTCTGGAAATTGGTACTGTCAAAGTCACCAACTTGTTGCCTGATAGTTTATACAGGGTGAGAAATTTTTGGTTAATATAGTGGTATGATTTAACAATATTATATTGTTTTATTTCTTTGTCATCTTTTTGAGTCTGTGGAAAGGTTTCTAAATGGCATTCATTTTTGGTTACAGCATACACTTCAAGCGCAGAATACCTCTCACGCTAAAGAACGGCAATCATCAATACGTGTGTTTTGTCGTGATATGGCACCTGGTCAGTCTTTTGTCATTCTGTTTTTGTCTTTTTTTATTTTGAATGAACGAAATTGCAATTTTTGGCATAGATCATTGAACTGTGCTTTTCAAGTTGGCGGAATCTCTGTTAAACAACACTTTGAAATAAATGTTGCTCCAATGGTTGCGCAGATAACCTACCGTTTCTTCGAAAAAATGATGGCTTACTTTTTCCCTGGTAGAAACATCGATAAAGAGGATCAACAAAATTTGGATACATCGGAGGAACAGCAAAGTAGTCAGGTCCGCTATTCCTAAAATTTTTTGTGATATGCATTTAAATTTAAAGATTCGGTAATATTTTTAAAATCATTGGCTCTGAATTAAGAGAGGGAAAAAAGATTATGGAGTAAACGAAAAAATAGTAGTTTATTTCGGTTGATACCACTGCCTCATCCAATCTGAATTTTCGCAATCTTCATCGAAAACGAGAATAAAATATTAAAAGCTTCGGAAAATATTCAAATTGGGAAATCTTATGATCGTAAGAATTGAATATTTTAGAGTGTTTCTGTGACCCAGTGGTTGCGAGGTGCAGTGAACGGCTCATTTCGACGTGTCACAGAATCTAGTCAATTACGCGATGATATAGATCGAATGAAAGAACGTGCTCAAAAAAACAATGTTTTCTTATATATAAAAATACCCGAAGTACCTTTTATAGTGTCGTACAAGGTTAGGAGAATGCTATTTCATTTGTTTTAATTGTCTTCAAATGAGAATTTACTTTTATTTTATAGTAGAAACGCTACCAAATTCTTAAAAATAGAAGTTAAAAAGCTTAACTTTTAAGGTTTGTTTAGATATTTTCTAATAGCTCTAAGTTTGCATTATAAATTTGAATAAAAAAGGAATAATGAAAGGAAAGAATAATGATGAATTCTTTTTTCGTACGATGTACGATGAAAATAATGATTTTTCACATTAGTTGCGGTAGTGTTACTCGGTACCACACGGTCGTTTCTATAAATTTATCAAATTTATGTATGCTGCATATAACAGCTTCAGTGATTTCTCATATTTTTTTATTCTAAATGCTGGAGAATGCTTCAGGGACATAAAGACAAAAATATCGAAGATGTGGATAGATTTCAGTTGATTTTTCCACTTTGTGAATACCACGACAAAAATTGGACTTGGCTTGATTTGGCTTTAGCAATTAAGCAGCGTTGTAGACGAGTTCTGCTGCAACAGGTTTTCAAAACATTTTTTATTAGTTCTTTTATTTTTATAATATGTATTTATTATAATATTTTATCATTTTTATTTCATTCTTATCATTTTATCATTTTTATTCATAATAAAAATTCAGTTTATGAAACAAAAATTGTTGAGAAATCGACTAATAGGAGCGGAACACGGGTCAGATGAGATCGACGAAGAGGAAAAAAAGCGAATTGTGCTCGGTGCGGTACGTTCATTTATTTCTCAAAAATTTTCAAAACATTATCCGATTTATGGAAATGTTTTTCTTTATTGAGTTTGAAAATTGTGAATGAAATTTTTTTGCAGAAATAGTGATTTCATGCCAATCCAATTTTTTCTAATGAAAGTACATAATAAAACATTTTTTCTACAGAATTACGAATTTTTAAATTGAAAGAGATCAATTTTAATATATTGCTATTTTATTATAACGTATTATTATTTTAGGCAAGTATACCAGATAAGGAAAGTAAAAGATCAAAGAAGAGCAATTGAAATTCTATTTGAAATCGAAGCTTAATTCTGCAGCTGTATTCGTAGATTCATCTATAATCAGTAATCTATAATCTGTAATTGGAAAAAGCTTAATCTTAAGTAATACAGAAAAAATAAGCCAATGACAACCAAATGTGCGAAATTTCTATCGTTTTCTTTTTTATTTTTTTGTCACATATTGTTATTTATAAAATTGGGTATTGCGCAGTCTTTTATTTGTGCCCTTTTGTGCCATTTAATGAATATTCCGAATTTTTCATATAATTTTTATATAATTATAATTATATATAATCCATATTTAGTGGAAAATTTATATATTTTATGTAATTTTTGATTCATTAGCCAATATTTTACTGGTAATTTAATGCATAACATTTATTGTACTCTTAAATTGATGAAATTCATAGTATTAGAGAATACCAATTTATTAAATATCAATACCTTAAAAAAACAAATTTTATTTTATTTTTTCTCATATCTAATGCTTTCTATTTGGTTCTTTTCGAACAATGACATACAGTTTCGATTTACGAATTCTTCTAATAAAATAAAATAATTGTAGATGGAAGTAAATAGCCAAAGATCTCCAAATCGGTATTCATCCACATTCATCATTTTTTTTGACGTTTAAACGATTTATTTTTGTGAATAATGTTTATGAACTCGCTTATATTGAATTCTTGAATTTAGATCCAAAATATTTTTTATAAATATTTTCATCTGATCAACACACAATGATAAGTTATCATGAATTTGCTTTGTAATTTCATTATCACCTGGAGGCGAAGGATTAGAGCCGCGTAAAGCCTTGTTTCTTGTTATCATATAATTCTTGCAATCGTGATAATTGATAAATTAAAAAAGTATCTAAGTAAAAATGAGTTTGCAGTATGAACATGGAAATTTATTTATATTTTCCTTTAGTCATTGAATATTTAAAGCTGGGAGGTACGAAGTTTAAAGTGAAAAGCCTTAATATTCTGCGATTCACTTTTTATAGACCTTTACGGCGGATTATAGGATTTCAACAGTACCAAAGGTTGAAAGACCTACCAATATTCAGGTCGGCAGACGCGGACAAATGGTAATTTTTGAGATCTTTACTTAAACGTATCTTTCTCAAGCTTTTAAATGGGTGCCCAAGCGCCGGGAAGATGGAGAAGAAGATTAGATTAGTTTTTATTGCCTATTAGTATTTATTTTTTCATTTAAATTTTCTATGTTATATGGTTTTTGTAGTGATTTTAATTTTTTATTTTAATATTTTTCATTGTCAATTATTCATCAATTTTTAAAAAATATTTTTTTTTCTTTTTTTGTAAAAAAAATCGGATAATGTAAGAAATACGATCGAAAGTTAATTCGTAATGTAATTTATTGCATTTAAATTTATTTTTTTTCGAATAAAATCTTTTTTTAAATTTACAATCTTATTATATTTTAAAAATAAAAAAATTGAGCAGAACGTATTAATACAATAGGTTAGACAATTAATGAAGCCAATTTCAATAAATCGTAATGTCACAATTAGTCTATATTATATATATATATATACTTATATATATAGTCTACTCATATAGCTTATATACATAAATATATATAACTAATATATATAGTCATATATTTTTTATAAAAAATTTATCAAATACGATACGAATCAAAGACTTTATCTACAAAGATAAGTACGTCGAATGAACTTGTAAGAATTACCTTAATTACCTTAAACAATATTTTTTAAATATTAAATATATTATATTATACAATGAGTGCAATAAAAATAGATCAAGCAATGGTTAGAACAACTCAGTACATTGGTGCTCATTTGGAAGCGCCAATGGCAATAGCGTTCTACTCGCAGTAGTTTTTCAAAAATTCGCATGATGACCTAGTGACTCATCTGTAATCCTCTCGTCAAATGATTCCCTGGCAAAAATTTGCCTGGTCCAATCCTGACCAGAAATGGTAAGAGATTTTAGCTATATATAAATATATATGTATGTAATCTATATTTATGTATAACTCAACATTCAAACTGAATGCCGTTAAAGTGAACTAAGCTAGCATTTGCAAAAAATCGCAAATAATGCTTCACGAATACCAGTTATCCATTCAACGCATTTTATTTAAAATTTGTCCAAAAGTTTCACCAAAAATTAATTAAAAGCATGGCAAAAAAATTAGTAGAAATGCCCGTACGAATATCTAGCCATAAAATAAATATACCTTGATAATAACAACGATGTACCTGGAACAAATTCCGCTGAATAATGTTCCCAACCATTTCCCGAAAGTCAGCCAATCCCATGCTGTTATTAGGAAATGCATTAGTTGGGAAGCAATGATCCATTGAAAAGCTGCCAAAGCATGGGTATCAAGACATTATGACTATCGGATGCTTCGAAGAAACATAATAGCAACAGCGGGAAAAAAATCTCTATTAGATATGGCCTTGGAAATGGGGAAGTTCGATGTCGATTAGGCGATTAGCAAACTATTAAGCCTTCTTCATAAAGCCACTATAAATGGGGGAAGCGCCAGTGAAATGGTACGGGATTAATGGTATGCCTGTTAAGGCTATTAAGGACTGCCTTCTAACCAGAGAAGAATTTTTTAAAGCTGAACTTAACCACGATGTGCCGGCAGTAAACGAAGCTCGTCAGACTACATGCTTGCAACTGACTCTATATGCCTCTAGAAGGATAAGAAATAATCTCTGCCACCTAGTCATCTTTAAGTATTATTCATCGTTCTTTATATCACATATCTTTAACAAAAATGCTCTCTGACACAGAAGGAAGAAATAATACCAGATGACTGTAGCAAAGCAATTCTCAATTACCAAGAAGGATGATAAGACAAGCTACATTCAGACCAGGATATGTTCTTCCACCAAAAATATTCACCTATGGGATAGACTAGATAATGGGCACCAATCGAGAAATGTACAAATCAATTCATAGCACTGAACCACAGATCTTTAATATGCTGATGACGTAATTTTTTTGCTGACAGTTAGGATGAAATATAAATGATGCTAAATGATGCATCGATAACCACAGTGATAGGACTCATGATTCAATGTAAATAAAGCGAACCAAATCCTTTTGTCTTGCATACCTAAACTAATAAAAAACTTATTTTTACCAAATCATCACCGGTTGAGAAAATGCCAAACTTTAAGTACCTTAGACCCAATCAAACGGCTATAAATGGGCAAGTGAAATTACAGCCTGGACGATTATAGCATTCTTTTGGCTGGAGAAACCTTTATAAATGCTTCGAAATCAATAAGAAAATCCGCTTCTATATAATTTCAGTTCGCTCGATCTTGTTATATGGCTGTCATATATGGCCAATGAGAGTGGAAGGTATTAGGAATTTATCTGCCTTTCACCACCCACGTCCAAGATACATTTCACGGTTTCGTTGAGCTGATAAAATCTCATGACTGCAACCACCGCTTAAATACCACTTGCATTAAAAATAACATCACAGAGCATCGTCTTCGCTGGTTAAGGCATGTTTTTTAGCGCCCACCACAGGAGTTTGACGCATATTTTGTTATATTTTGTTATTTGCTTAACTCTGTGATGGATGGCGACAAACGTGAGATGGGCCAATCAAGACCTAGACTGGCACAACCAGGAAAGACTTTGAACAGGTGGGGACCAGCAATATATGGATTTAAATGGAAAAAGGAATGGCTTTTATTATTGTCATCGTGGCATCGTGTCTAACAGCTTGGAAAAATCATACCCTTGTAGTTAAAAGAGCCAGCCTAACTACTAATAATAAGAGCTGTTAGAAGAACCATAAATATACAAAAGACAATTTTAAATATTCTTTTCCAGATATCAAAGGATGGATATTATTTGGAAACCAAACTTATCCATCTGCGAATAAATTATTAATGAAAAAGTTGCTAAAAAAGAGCATTACAATGTCGGCCCAAATTAAATAAAGGTAAAAGGCCATATTCTTCGCCGTCCATCACAAAATTCGACACAACTGGCTTTGAAATTTGACGCATTTCAGAACTTGTGATGGATGACGCTGAAAAAGAGAAGGCTCAATCAAGACTGAATGGTTAGAAGAGAACGCATTTCGAACGTACAAGGCTTGACGCTGGAAAAATGATTCGTTTTCTTTAGATATATCAACAGGAAACATCTTAAACTTGTAACCAGCTTAATCATCAATAATGTGAGCTTTTAGAAAAACAAAAAAAAGCAATAAGATTAAAATATTCACAAAATTTGATAATCGCTCACAAAATTTAATAACCATTTACTGAAGTGGCAGTAATTAATCGATTTTTAAAATCGGGAACAATGGCACACAATCGTCCAAAATAAATCGAATATTTGACTAAAAAGAACTTAAAAAATACTTAAAAAATCATAATCAATATGACTAAAGGAATATAAGAAAGAATGTTTCGAAATAATATTTTAAAGTTATATTTTTAAAACGTCCGGAATCTTCCAATTTATTATAAAATTGCTTTTTAAAATTATTATTATGGCCTATTAATTTTCAATGAAGCATACTTTGAATTTTTAAAAAAATTATTAAAAATTACTTTATCTTTACCGCCACATGATAAAATTTTTGATACAATCATATTATTCTTACATACACGTATGTATTCTGATACTTCTTGTATGTCCGTACTTTCTTCCAAAAATGTTCGTGCTGCAGCAAATGCATCGTAAGCATATGAAAAACAACTACGACTATTCCAAGATGATGAATTTTCTTTCCTAAATGATTTTCGAATTAAGAAAAACACCAAAAGCAAAAGATCTGTCTTCTTTGTCACTGTTTTTCTTCAAATGGAGGTTTCGATATAGGATGAAAAGATTGAAACTCAAAGAATCAGCCTCACTGGAGAAGCGCAACAGTAACAGGACACAAGTCAAATGGACTTTTCGTGAATATTTGACGTGAATCATTCTAAACGTAATATAAAAGGAATTTTCAGGTTAAAATACATAATTGCAAAACATGAGCACCTTGATGATTGCATGAAATAGTCATAGGATACGAATAACGGTGATGATAAAGAAGAAAAGGGAGACATTCGTAGTTCGAAGCGATAACGCTCAGATGCATCGTTCTTTGGAATTCGGATTTTATTCATGGCAATTAATCCAACTGAAGCCTTAAAATAGCTTTTGAATGGTTAAGCAAAAACAAAAAATAAAACATTTATAATAAATAAAGTTGTTACGAAAGACTAAAACCTGGTAAAAAGCAGATGACAAAGCAAGCTGAGCTTTGTAAAATAGCAAAGAATTTTCTATAGCGCTTATCCTTCGATTTAATTCACCTTCCTGCCATGTTTTACTGTTTTTCTTGCGCTCGCTTTTTTTCTTAATTTTCATACCTAGAAAGCAATCAATGATAAATTTAAAAATTAGTAAGTTTACTAATGTAACGAAATGAAAATTTGTACCAAAAATAAAAACGAAAATATATATTAAAAAATAACTGAATCTGAGTTATACAACCTTTCTGTTTCTCAGCTAATAAGACATCTCTGGAATGACTCAACGCATTAACAATCAATTTGTATACAATATCACTTAGATACCTTAAGAGAAAAAATCTGTAAAAAGAAAATTCAATAAGAAACATTTTCAGGTTTTTCTGAATACTTATTCAGTCAATATAGTGAAGGCTTAATACGACTAATGCAAAAATATTTTTACCGATCATTTCTTACAAAAACGTATTATAGAAATAAAAAATAATCGAAGATTCAAATTCGCATAAAAAATTATGATAGCCGAATCATTTCAGCTTATTACGCATTTTTTCAGATCAATTCCTGATGTTACTATTTAACAGTAATTATCATTTTTCATGAATGAAATCTCGGATGAAATTTAATTTAATATAGTCGTTAAAAAAATCACCAGTAAATATAGGGATATTCAAACGGTGCGAAAAGATCCAGCCTTGCGGATAAATAAAAATGATATTCGATAAGTAATAATGTGTGGTAAAGAACAAATGAAGAAAGGGAAAGACCTGCAGAATCCTGCATTGTATTCATGGCTTCATAAATACTTTCAAATCGTTCCGCCTGCAAAATAAATGAAAATAGAGAAAAAATTTTTTGCAAAAATATAAACTGATATTTTCAAAAAAAAATATTTTATACATAATTTTCACATGTCGATTTAATTATTATTCCTTATTTAAAAAAGAAGACAAAGACGAAAACAAATAAAACAGATAATATGTATAAATTAAAAGGTAATTCCGGGTGATATTGGTGACCAACTCACCTGTACTACCTGAAGGGGCTCCCTGGCATATTTGTCTACTGCGACAAGCCAGAAGAGCGAGTATAACCAGTAATGGAGAGTGCTCTTTCCTCCTCCAAAGTTAAAGATAATTACAACTTATCTAATTATATAACAAAAATCCAAAATCCTTGCTAGGAAAAAATTACAAGTAAATACTTCATTCTGCAATGCTGCGAAGTCTTCAATACAAGAAACAATACGTTCTCTCTGTCTAGCCAAATTATGACCAAACATTTGAATTACTCCAAGAAAAACTTTCACTGCATCGGTTATAAATTCATTGAAAAAAATGCCACACTGAGAATCTACTTGAATCGTACCTCTGAAATTATACAAGGCAATTGATTGCATATAATGGAAATGTAAATACCGATCAAAAAATACAAATAACGAAAAAAGAAATTCAAAAAAAACATAAGCAAAAGTGAACTTAAGTTGTAACTAGAAAATATCAGAAAATATCACAAATAATTTTAAAATTTTCATGAATAAAGGAAATTCACTTACAAATGATCGATAAATGGAGCAGAAGTACGTAATCGAATTGATTCTATAACCGAAGTCGACAAAGGCACACAACCCATAAGTTTATCATCTTGAGGAAGATAAACAAGTTGCAGCAATGAACGAGAAAGAACGCAACTATCCGACACACAAAAAAGTTGAAAAAATTGCTAAAAATAATTGAAAAAATAATAACCAATAATAGAAATATTTAAATTGTGATTCAGGAAATAAATTCAGATTTCTAACCAAAATGCATTCAATATTAGAAAGGCAAGACGGAACATCAACAGTTATCTGTAGAATTTTTAGGCTTAGCTTTTTCATTGTTTTTTGACCATATACACGATCCTTTAGCTTTATTTTCCTCGGGAACGTCGGTGGTAGTTGCTTTCGTGTTATTTCTGGTTCAAAAGCAGGTAACCAATCAAAATTATCTATAAAATAAGGCTTAATCCAAGTTTAACGAATTCCAGGTTTGTGATTTTGATTTCAGAATATATAATGTTGCAAAATATTTTACTTCAATAAAGTTGGTTAACCAGTAAGCAAACCTCGATAGAACCTTTTATATAATTTGGAAATCTACCTTAGAGCGCATTTATATTAAATAAATATATCAAAATCGCGAACATTATTAAGTGAGCACAAGAAATGAAAAATTCCAAACCATCACATCCGTCAGCTGGTTGAGAACCTAAATCGATTGTTAATTCCATTTCTTCCAGACACTGACATGCAATGCGCATATGACTCGAGGCTTCTTCAGCATTTGGACTGCAAAACCATAAAAACGTCAATGAATAGACGAATCAAACCATAAAAAATAGGACAATTCATGAAATGAATCACGCTGATAATGTAGGACTTTTCTAAAAATGAGAGAAATGAAACCGGAATGGAGTTATTGTTGTTTCAGCGAGTTGACTCGGCATAAGCACATTAAGTGAGAAAATAAAATGTCGCAGAAACGATATCCGACATAAAGCAGCTTTTAACAATTTAACATCCTTTGATTTCTGCTGAAAAATAAAAAATTATCACAACATCTCTTTTTGTTTTTTTATTCGCTTTTGGCAAATTACATTAATACGTTGATCTGCATTATTTTTAAAGATATCTTTCTCAGCATAGTTCCATAGTTTTTATGACCCTATCCAAAATTCCCAATAAATAATTGATAATAAGATATGAAACCGACTTTAATAGCACGCTGTAAAGATAATTCTGCTTGCTTTATACTGCTTGTATACTTTACGCAATCGGAAGATCGTATATTGACAAAATGACCATTGAAATCTTCCTAAACAATAAAACCATACAAATATCTGCGAAATAAAAACGTAGAAAACTATTGAATAAAACATACTTCATCATAAACAGTCGCAGTTTGAATAATTTGACGAGTTAAATAAATAAGTTCAATTATTCCACGACAATAAGCTGATAAAATAGGATCCTCCACAGCATCCAAATTATGAAGGCAAACACAAGTTAGCACCTGAAAATTCGAATGTTAAAATGAAAGCTCTTAAAAAACTGGAAATTACAGTCGTTCAACTAATTATAAATTCTTTTTTCGATATAAATAGTTATAAATTAAACAATTTGTAAATTAAAAGATACTGTCTGTGCAAGTGAATTCCCTTCTAGCCATGCAATATAAGAAGCTAATAAAGCATCCATAGTTGCAATCAATTCAGGTAAATCCATTTCCCATATATTTAATTGCCCGGTAGAAACGAGATTCTCAAACTGTATTGATTCATCATACTTGACCATACCAATATCCATTTTGGGATCCATTAACTCTTAACCAAATAAATAAAACCTAGACAAGCACATATTGATCATAAGAATTAACAATCAAAGCGGATAAGTGACAATCAAAAAAAAGTCCAGTATAATATTTTTAACATTACATTATATAATTTTAACAGAGAGGAATATTATATAGCCTATGCGCCAATGCACCAAGATAATATCACAAATGATAAACAACTAACCAATAGCACTCATAGCTTCCGATAAGCTAAAGTTAGGACTAATCGCTAATTCGCCAACAGTTAATTCTGAAATAAATACATATCATATTACCTGAACTATGCAAAATAAAAATTAAAAATCAAATCAAATTCCAGCACAATAGTGAATTTTTCAAAATTGAACTATTAAAACAATCTAGTTCTGGACTATAAATCTCAATAACATAACACTCTCTAATATAAGAAAAGAATATCAAGAGTTTAAGATTTATGCAAATAATAGTTAAAAAATATTAAAATCTATGAAAAAAATTCCAAATCTCTGATGACAAATACGACAAATATAAAAACCTATTTTAAACAAGATTAAATTTTTTTAAATAGAAATTACTAAAATAAATACATCACAAGAAAAAAAACAGGTTCGATTAACCAGAATCGAAATTTTGTAAAAATTCAAAAACTCACTGGAACATTCTGCGAAAAATTCTTCGGTGATATCTACTGGATCAAACTTTCCTCGCATAGGATTAATTTCATTATACCCTTCAGAAAGTAATTTTTGAAGGCCAATATCTCCCATTTCTTGATGATTATTCATTATTCGCTGTAAATTATGGAAAATATTTTCAATAAGAATATAAAGGGATAAAAAAAATCAAATCTCCACGAATTTCATGAACGAACAAGAACTATTACTATTTCCTATTACTATTACTATTTCGTACTATTTAAATTACGATTACTTGAAATAAAAGCTTGAATAAATAATGACAAGAATATTTTTAAGATGAAACTTTCATTGAAATAAATTTCGCCTCAAAGAAATCTTTTAGCAGATAAGCTTTAACTAAACCAGTAACGAATATAAAACACATTATAACTTGCTTAATGAGAACAAAAAACAACAAATCTGAAGTCTTCCAAGACTAAGAGAGAATGTTTTGGGAATATCATTAATCAAGTCAGATACTCAATATGGAGAGAATTTTGGATATATTGTCCCAGAAGACTACTGAAAACAAAGTAGTTCAGATTAATGCAAATTAATAAATAGAAAATTATAATGGTAAAAGGTAGAATGTCAAAATCACGACGCTAATTCAACAAATAAATACAGGCAAAAATTTCTGCAAAAATAATTCAAAATTATATGCGCGCCGTGATATATGCTTGCAATTCCCTGAAGGATTAAAAGAAAAATCAATTTACACCAAAAGTCACAAGAAATAAGGCGAAAATATTCGAAGGAAGAAATATAAATCACAAAATTAAACCCATATTCAACGATCCAACTGATAGTAACTGATAAAAATTCCTATATTTCTTAATATACATATTTTCAGTGCCTGACTGAACAGGATAAGAAAAATGAATTTTAAAAGAACAAAATTCAAAATTCTCAACCGAACATTCCCAAAAAATTTACCAAATTTTTATCATCTGATTCCAAAAGCATCGCGACAAAAAAATTAAAGTAAAGGGTTCTTGTGCTGATGAAGTTCTTTGTTACCAGTATTCCGCAGTGTTTTATTCACTAATTGTAAATCTGACAAAATTTCGCTTTTTTTCAACCTGTGAAATATTGCTGGACCAATCGTTCGCTGAAATTTTTCCAAATCTGCCGTGGTAGCGTCGTTGTCAAAATGACATTCTGAAAATGATATCTATAATACAACTACAAAAAAAGCATATAATATAAAATTAATATTTTTTAAAGATCTTTTCTAATACTCGGAACCCAGATTACTGATGGCTATTTTTAACATATAATAAATATGAAAAAAATACGAATAAAAATAAACGTAAATAAAAAAACGAATAAAAATAAAGTACTACGGTCAACCATTAAGTAAGGAAAAGAAAGATGAATGACTACTGATTTATGGTCACTTGGTATCTACGACGGACTTAGATAAAGAAATCTGACTTGATTTTAAGCCAAAGCTAACCTATTGTCAACTTTTCGAGATCATTATAACACCTCTCTCGCTCCTCATGCAGATGTGCAACTGCAGCTTCAATGTCTTCCTCGATTTGTTCATAAACTAATTTCCGATTATGAACGAGATTTTTCTGTTCCATTTCCAGTGTTCCAACCGTTTTCCGCCTAAGCGCCTCAATTTGTAAACGACGGAGAGCCTGAAGCTGCTGAAATTTATAATTAATTTACTTTTCCCATAAGTGACATTAAATCATGAATAAGGCTTCCATAAAACGATAACTGTAAATATAGTTTTATTTCGTTTAAATATAGTTCTATAAATCATTAAAGGAAGTAAAAGGAAGGAAGATATTGCAAAAAAGGAAAAGAAAAACCAACTTCCTTCTTGACACGATATTCCTCAGCCAAAACTGCTTTTTTGCTTAAATAATCTGGAGCTCGTTGATCTACCAATTCTGTTTGACGCCTTTCCAGCTGTAAATTTAGACTGGAACATTTTCAGTTACTTGCAGTCTATGTATAAAATTAATGTTAGTATTACTATTATCATTACTATCATTATCAATAAACAGTCGCATAACCCCTTTTTGTTTTAAAAGATTATATTTTGTTGATAATATTGGGTCAATTATTTTTTTCATCAGCTTATTATAAGCAAAAATTTATTTTCAAAAAAAAACTAAAATATTCAACATGTTATATTCAACGTTCCTTTGCATTTGCCTCAACTATTTGACTGAATAGGGGAATAAAACTAATAATTGAACATAATTTTAGAAGATATTCATCAACGAATTCTTATTTCCTTCATAAATATGAGAATGATATTTAATATTTGAAGAAAATAAATACAAATAAATGATTAAAAAGTGTTCAAAATGATTTTAAAAAAATTCCTGGAAAATAGATGAAAACAATAAAAATCAAAAGCGAGAAAAAGAATGAATATGAAATGATTTTAAATTAAATGAAACAGAATTTTTCAGAATTGAGATCAAATTATTCTATAAGATTACATTTATTTAAACAACAAGAATGCAAATAGTATTGACTTTATTATTTCTTTCATTAATCCTATCGAATTCAGTGAGAGGTTTAAAATATTTTAGTCTAATTTTTTAAGTGGATTGAGTCAAATTTATAATATTGCAAGCAATAAAAAGAACAGAAGAAATAAATGTTCTAAATAAATGTGACCTTATAGAATACAAATAATGAATTTACGAAATAATTATAGAATTATATTATTCTTAATAAAATACTTAGAGAAAAATAAAAATAGAACCTGATTAAGTCGTTCTTTATAAAGATCTTTCTTAGCATTCGTAAATAATCGATCAAGAATAACAATTTGCCGTACATTCATTTCTCTCTTCTTTTCATATGTATGATAATCCATTTCATTATCACTATCCGAATCATTTAATTTCTCCATTCTTTCTTTCCTTATTATATCATAATTGTTATTATAAGCAAATTTCAATAGATTATAATCTTTTCAGCAGTACAACCACAATAATGAGTAACTATTTTGAATAAATAATTACTTTTTAAATTTAGATAACTCGTAAATATTTTTTTCCATTTATCATATAATAACACTATTCTTCTCTTTTTCCTGAAATTTTTATTGGATAATTTTTGTTTTATTTTTATTCTAAAAAAAAAAAAATCATATATATGGAGATGTAACGAAAGAATTTCAAGCATTATTTGTAACAAGAAACTTGAAAAATTTTCACTCTAAATGATTAACCAAAGAAAAAAATTAAAATAAAAATGTTGCGAATTATTCGAAGAAATGCAAAAAATTGATTTAAAGTTACGACGAAATTTGAAATAAAACTTTTAATAATAAAAATAAAAAATAACCTTAAAAAAATATTTAAAAAATATTTAAAATTAATTTGCAAAGAAGAAAAAGAGGAATTTGAAATAATTTCAAAAATTCCTTTCAAATCATTCAATTAATGGATTTTATCAATGAGATTTTGACCTTTTATTGGTTGAATTTTGCTTAAAATATAACAATAGGGCAACAAATCGACCCGATCTATCGATTTTACTGGTAATTTATTCTCAACGCTAATTGATTTTAGAAAAGCGCCCACTCTCCTATTTGCTCAAATAACACAATCGAATAGCTTAATTTCGATAATTTAAATTACGTCTTTTTACGCTATTTTTCGCTATTCTGTCGAAATCTTTTTCTATTGTCACCCATTACTTTTAATTTAATTGATTCTACTACTAGGCTAATACTCTTTTGTCATTGAATCGCGTAGAATAAATTTTATTCGGAAATAAGGTTGTATTAAATTTTAAAGTCAGCTCCGTAAGCTGCTCTCATTTCCGAATGGCAATGCTAGGAGGTTTCCTTTTCTTGGCGAAAATCCGCATCTTTTATAAATCCTTGTGATGCTAGCCATTTACATATATTCATTTTCCCATGCTTCTATTGCAAAATGCCAAATTTCTGGTAAAATTTATCTGATTCAACAAAACCACCGAAATGGCATATATAGAAATGGTGAGCGCTTTCAGAAAAACTAGCGACAAAATAATTTTCTGATAATGAGTCCTTTAGTTATATTCGGTTAAATAGAAATTCTAACCAGCTATCGAATGAAGAATTTTAGTCGGAAACCAAGGAACTAAAGAACTCCTCTCTCCTCAATCCCCCCATTCCCCCTCCCCCCAACCCAGCCCCTAACCCACATCATTTACCGATAACCAAATCGAAAAGTGATCACATTATTTGGTACCATTTTTTCAATATGACTAATCATCGTACTCTGATTCTCTATTTATCGGTGCAGATTGTGGATAGTAATCTTACGATTTTATAAAATAGTTGTTTACCGATTTCATAAAAATTCGCATTTGCTTAAAATTTTTGTGTTATATTTGTTGTCATTTTTATATTTGATAATTCGTTGAAAATTATTAGTTCGTATTTTTATCGATTAAAATTGGAGGATTATTGATTTTCTATTAATTTTTCCACGGATCCTTTCGATTAGAAATGTCGAAAATTTTGGCCGCTTTTGGACCACATTGGACCACAATGAAGAGAAAAATTTCCTTTGGCTGTACATGAAGCAAATAGAATCGTCAAATATATAAAATGAAGAAAATAAATAAAAATAATTTTTATTTTTTTCAATGGCAAAATCAAAAGAAATGGAAATAAAATATTTGATCTTTGAATTGTGGTACTTCAGGCTTATGACTAGTCGCGCCCCCGTTTTCCTAAGATTATAGGTTGAGTAGGCCTACCCTAGATGGTACCACAAATATCGATGGGCCACCGTGTATTTTCATAATTTTATAATTTTTAAATATTAAATTTATCAGATTTTTCTTCATCTTAAAGGTTTGAATGATTAGAACAAAGTGAAATTCTTTATCAATGAGTCCATTGAGACCATTTTAATGGCAATGTTTTTAACATATTATTTTTGCGAATTCCTCGATAATATGTGAATTTCAGGTAAAACTGAGAATCGAATGTTTCTTCATCGTATGGTACAACGTAGCTATACTTTTCTCTTCAATGAGGTTCTTTTTTATTTTATAATATTTCTTCCAGCGGTACCTTCCTTATTAAGTTGGCGTGTTTAGTTTGTTTAGAATTCCTGTTCATTTGGTTGGAATGTTTATAAGTTGACCGCATCAACGCCACAGCCGAAATTATTTTCTTAAAGTCACTCATTTTTTGACTTCTTATGACTCATATAACTGTAACAAAAATTTATCGGTGAAAAATAACCGAATTTTCAGAATCTTCCATTAAATAGAATAGTTTTTCGCAGAGCCCTTGCCAGCGCCGTCCCAAAATCCAGTAAATCTCAAATTTTGATAAATACAAGATTGACATTAGCATCATCAAAAACCTATGGGCAACGTCGACAAATATTTTTTACACGAATATTGTGTAAGTTATATTTCATGGTTTGAAATATGATTTTTTAATTTTATAATATGTTACCAAAATTTTTTTCCGTTCAAATTGCTGATGAAAATTTCCAGTGGGAGATGTGATTGAAATCGAGGGGCCAGCATTCGCTGAATCGATTTCGGAAGGCGATATTAGATGGATAAAAAGTTTGTTTTGTTTTATTTTCTAAAATTTTGCATAATTTTCGATTTGTTTTATTTTCTAAAATTTTGCATAATTTTCTTTTTTAATTAAAAGTACTATGAATAAAATATTTCTGGAAGATTAAAAAGAAATATATTGTTGCTAGGAAACATTGTTTCCTAATGCAACAAAGATTTATTGATTGAAATGAACAGTAAGCGTTCTACCCCATAACTTGATTAGGCGTTGTGCTCTAAGAAAGCGTTAATCTGCACCTAATTAACATAAAAATTATCCTAAATGGTATTATCTCAGCAAAATCGATAGATTTTATAGTACATATTGTTTTCGTTCGAATAAGTTAGATAATGGTGATTTTTTTGTGGAATATCGCAAAATTCATTCTTTTACTGAATTTCAAAGCTTAAAATTTGTAAAATTTTGAATGGTAGATCTTTTTAACTCGAACATTGGATATTTTCGTGGTTTATTTTGTTTTTATTATAAAGAATTTTAATCATTTTAATTCGATTAATATTAGTATTTTGAAATATGCGATAACCATTATTATTTTTCAGAGAAAGGAGATTTTGTTAGAGAAGATGAAGTGGTAGCAGAAATTGAGACGGATAAGGTTATTTATTGACTGAAAGTAGTTTGGTCAATTTTTCTATTTATTAAACGATTCAATAGAAATACGACAATATATGGTAGCTTCTTCGTTTGGAGAAGGTTTAATGGTGATAGAATTTATCCGGTTGAAAAAAGTTTTGTGCGGCGAATGTAGCAAAATAAATATAAGTATTGGATTTGAGCTGAAGATCAATAGATAGTCACGTGTGGCTAATATGAACATAGTGACCATGAAAAGTAAAATTAAAGCATCATGGGTGGATAATTCATTTAAATATTATTTCGAATCTGATTTTTATCATTCGATTTTGTCAATTTTCTCCATTTAATATCCAGAGTTTTCAGACTGCTGTTGAGGTGCCTTCTCCTCATTCTGGAACTATTGTGGAACTGCTTGTTGCTGATGGAAGTAAAGTGACTGCTAAACAGAAGCTGTACAAGCTAGAACTGGGCGATGGTCTCATTTTAAAATTTAAATTTCTTTTATTTTCGCCAGTTTTTCTTTTAATTTCAGTTTGATTTAGCGCCAGCAGAGGATGTGAAACAGAAGAAACCAGTGGAAACTGTTCAGAAAGAAGAGTCTGTAACAACTGCGAAACCAACTGAAAGTCCATCCTCACCGGTAGAATCTGTTTCACGAACTATTCCACCACAACCGAGACCTATATCTGTTCCAACTTCAGATGCCAGCTCATTGAAAGGTATTTTGATAAACAGTTTCAAATGCTAAATCATTGAAAGATATTTATTTTAATACATAAGGGTTGGAGATATATTTTCGCATTCTCTTAAGTAGATTGCTTTTTATCTTCCATTTATTTCAGGTACAATACCTTCTTCAATGCCACCAATTCCTGAACTACCAAAGAAACCAATTAGCTCTATACCAACATCCGAAATAAAGATTTCTCCTTTAAAAATTCCTTCTGGTGTGTCGAAAGAATCCGCTATAACAGGGATACGAAATGAAACGAGAGTGAAAATGAATCGAATGCGTTTAAGAATTGCTCAGCGCTTAAAAGAAGCTCAAAATACTTATGCAATGCTGACGACGTTTAATGAAATCGATATGTCGTATGTTTTTATTGGTATTTTCAAGTATTTTTTTTTTAAATTATCAGGTTTTTTTAAAAATTATTTTTGTTGCTGCATTTTTAATGCTTTTAACAGTGAAGATTTTTTACGACAGATTTCTGTCGGGAAATGCGAAAAAAGAAAAAGTCACAGTGGGTAGAAGGCTGGTTCGCACATTTTTCATAATGAATTTCGTTTGCAGAGGCACCAAATTCAGATTTTAAATGCTAGATATGGTTTTTTATAATACGAAATAGGTATTAAATTTTCATTTTTTTAGAAGTGTTATTGAAATGCGATCTCGTTATCAAAAAGATTTCACAGCAAAACATGGTATTAAGCTTGGGCTTATGTCACCATTTATTCGTGCTGCGGCATATGCTTTACAGGAAACTCCTTCTGTTAACGCTGGTTATTTTTATTTTTATGTATTATTTTTATAATACAATGTTTTGCTGTTGTAATTTTGCTGGCGGCAGTGGTGACGAGAGTATATAGTTCCAAGCCTTTTGGTTCGATTTCTTAAAGTAAGTAAAGCCAGCCTCCTTTTTTCCACCTACTAAATCCGCATATCGCTGGGTTTTCATTCGAAATTTCCTTTTATCAGTCAAGTCCAGATCTTGGATAATCATTTTTATTTTTGAAGCTATCCATCAAAGGGCTTGGCAAGTAACGAAGTATCTGCATCAATTCCTGTAATGTTCGAAGAGCAGATGATGCTTTTTGAAGATATTATTAATACGTATTTTATAGGATAAATTTTAGCCATGAATGGTAAAAAGTAGATTAATAACTTATTGAATCTTCTGCATTTTCCATATCTTGCAGCCTTATATTAGGATTATAATAGTAATATAAAAGATATAATAATAGGCGTGTACTACAATCAGGTATCTTTCCTTTGGAAGTTGGTTTTTCGGTGATTCCAAAAAGTCTTCGCAAACAAGTAAAGAAAGCATTCTGCAGCGATCCGAGCTGAGATTTCAATCTTGGTCATTAAGTGTGAGAGTGGGTTCGAATTATTTGAAGTTAAAGTCTGACATCTCTTGAATCGTGTGAATTTCTAGAAATAGCAAAGGTATGTATATATGTATATGGTATATCAGACAAAAATTTATGCCTTATTAACATCGATTTTAAGACTAGTTTTTGCTGTTGCCTACACCAGATCTTGAGCATATTTAAGGTCTGTGGTGCTACATTCTGGATTGATTTACTTATCTTTTGAATACCGGAAAGCGGTTTTTCATAATCTTTTCTATCATATAGTCGGAAATTGCAGAGGAGAGGACGCAACCTTTATGCACATCAGTTCATATTTCGAAAGGTTCTATCGGTTTCCTATATTTGGGCAGATAATAAGTTTGAAAGTTATTATAATAATATTTTCTGTGGGACGTCATGTTGTATGACCCTCCTATCGATGAATCAAAAGCAGCAGAAAATTCATAAAATACGTCGCGATATGTTGTCAATATTGAGATGAAGTTTTAACATCCTTATTAGTATAAACAATTTTGTCGTCAACTGCCTCATGCTGCCATGCATTATTTCGAGTTTATCCGGCAAAAATCTTTGGAATATCTAAATAAGCTTATATTTCAATATATTCCTTATATTGTTTTTTTCATATGAGTTGTCCTTCGGCCATTTTAAAGCAAAAATGTGACTGGGAAGTTTTGTCGAAAAGACAAATAAAAAAGCATCTAGAAAAGGATTGGTAGAAAATGAAAATATGATTTTTTAGTCATCGATGAAGATGAAATTATTTATCGGCATTACATTGATATATCTATCGCTGTTGCCACTCCTAAAGGCTTGGTGGTGCCTGTTTTACGTGACGTTCAAGATATGGATTATGGTACCATTGAACTAATGCTAAATGATCTTGGCGTAAAGGTTGTCCATTTATTGTTGTTTATTTATTATCTGTTTTTTTAACATTTGCTGATCATTTCACTTCTTTAATTATAATTTAATTATAGGCTCGAGATGGAAAACTAGCGATTGAAGACATGGAAGGAGGCACTTTTACTATAAGTAATGGTGGAGTTTTTGGCTCACTGTTTGGTACACCAATAATAAACCCACCTCAATCATCCATACTTGGTATGCATAGCATAGTAGATCGACCTGTAGCAGTGAATGGTAAAGTGGAGATTCGACCGATGATGATTGTGGCTCTCACTTATGACCACAGGTTAGATTCGACAAATTTCGTTATCATTTGATTCATTTGTTTTTCTTGAATTTTTATTTAAAAGTCAGATTAAATTTTTAATTGAATTCTGCTTGATTTATTATTGTCAGTTTTTATTTTTGTATATTATATTATATTTTTATATTTAATCAGTTGTTTTTCTAGGTTAATCGATGGAAGGGAAGCAGTGACCTTTTTGAGAAAAATAAAAACGTGCGTTGAAGATCCTCGAACAATTCTAATGAATTTGTGATAGCTTGCTTTAACATTCAGAATAAGAATGACTTTTAGCTATTGTTTTCTATTATTTGAACATCTCGGTGTAACCTTTTATTTTATGTCATTCTTTTCTGTTTAGGATTCGATTTTTTTTTTCAGCGTAATAAAAATTCTTTCATCGTGTTCTATGTATCTTTCTTTCCAATCACTGTTTGCTTACAATAATCGTAATGACAAAATATAAAAACTTCAAACTAATATGTATAAGTAAATTGTAATGAAGAAATTTACATCAACTTTTAATTGTCCATCTAAAACCGAATTCGTTTTATCAACTGAAAATTACAAGGGATTTTTGGGTTTCCGGCATAGTTTTATAACATTCATAATTGAAAGCATAATATGATAATATTTGCAGATTATTTCATAATTTGTGCGGATGATTTATAAATTTCGCAAAAAATTTTTTACAAAAAAAAATAAAAAGAGAATTCTTTTTTTTCTAAATATTCGTCGAAATATATTTTTTCCTATCTTTTTTTTTTTTTTTAAACAGTTTATTTATCTTTAGTGTTTCTTTTTTTATCGCCTATATTATTTCAGGTCGCGCTAAATTGCAAATTGTCGTGTTTATAAATATTTCTCGAAACGCTGTTGTGTTTCGTTAACGGCTCGGCGATCCTCGCTATAACTTAGCGATAAAACTAGTTCGATTCCACTTCCTCGCTATTTTCACTTGCTTAGAAATAATTTTAGCTTCCTGGCTTTGTTCTCAAATTTTTATGAAACATTTGAACCTCCTTTTACGATACGATACGATACGCTATTGAGCTTTGTTCGTAGTGCTTTGTTAATCCGAAATTACGATAGTGCATGCGAAGCTCATTCCTGTTATGACTCCTCTAACGGCTCATATCACTGTAAATTTGGCTATTTCTAGTATCGAATGATAAGACTTCTCTAAGTCTGCCATAATCCTTTATCATAACTCAAATAGACTGAATCCATTCCTTTTTTCATCTTCATCATTGCTCTGTCCTATGTTTTCGGAGTTTCTCTTGGCTATATTGAGCGATATGCGTCAATTCTTGTGGCAGCATAGAATATCTTATTTTTATTTTTTTTATTCTGAACATTTATAATTATAAAAAAATAATATTCAATAAAAAATGTTTTTTCAATAGAAAAAAAGAAAAGAAAAAGTTATCATAAGTTATCAATGATGACAATGAATTATCAGTGATCATTCATTGATAAAGAAACTAATAAATAAGCGTGAACATCGATATCTTTGCTTAAAAATAAATAGAAATAAAATTTCAAGCGTATTTTCCAAAAAAAAAAAAAGTTTTTTGATACTCAAGGCTACTTTTATATGTCATGAAATTGCATGCAAATATTATCGAGCTAGCTAAATTTATTACAATTTTAACTTATCTTGCATTGGACGCAATTATTCTATTAATACGATCTTAAATAAGCAATGCCATTTTATGTTCTAGCAGCCAAGTCGTGGCCGAAAACGAAAAGCATCATATGTTGTCATTTGTAATATTAGATTTAGAAACAACGGGTCTCTTTCCTAAGGATTCGCATCCAACAAATAGAATAATTCCCGGTGATCCGAATAGAAACCACGGTGAAGAGCTATGTTATCATATCCGAAACAGTTAGTTGCTTCTTTTTCTTATGAAAGCACCAAGAAAAAAAAAATTCTTTAATAGTGTTTTTTATTAGAAAAAAAAATAATATGGTGCAATCTATTAGAAATATTTCCAATGGAAGTTCTAACTTCTTAATTTTTATAAAAAGCACTATTTCTCATATTAATGGATTCTTTCAAGCATTTTCACATAACACTAGGATTATGAAATATGCCAGTGGATCGCCAGTACACATCCTTGGAAACCTTATAAAATATTCTCGTAAGGAAATTTTTGATTTTAATCAGATTTTAATTTAGTTTCTTTTAGGTTATACTCGGGATGCTCCTTATATAACTGAAATTTGTCTAATTTCCACTTCAAGGAATCAAATTAAATATGGCATTGATATGTATATAGATAAAAATAGTGCTATAGATAGCGCGGAGATGGACTATCCTCTTCCTCGTCTTGCGTGCAATATGCACACCTCGCAGGTTATTTTTGGATTTTTTATAAGTTTTTCTTGACTTAAAAAGAATGATCTAATAAATTGATTATATTTATTTATTATTAATTAATTATAATTAGGGGATAGAATTGCTCACTGGGTTGTTGCTTAGTTTGGAGCGCCGATGCTGAGGTTCGATTCCCCGCAGGAGTAAAACCTGTACAAAAATCCGGGTGATACTGGTGACTCACCTGTATTTATATCGCCGAGGGACTCGCTGGCATATTGCCCAATGCAACAAGCCAGTGGAGCGAGTTTAACCAGTAATGGTGAGGACTCTTAAAAAAAAAAATTAATTAAAAATTTAGTTTTATAATTTAATGATTTTAGATAAAACCAAATTTATCCGATGCACAATGGATAGAATACGAAGAAGCGAGAAAACGAACCAACAACGGTTCCATATTCACATTTTTATATTTATTTTATTTATTTAATTTTTCTTTTTTTAATTTATATGCAAAAATTTGCTATTGTTTTATTTGATATTAAAATTTTAATTTTAGTGTTCAAATATTCTCGTAAAGATCTGGAAGATAAAAATAGTTTTGCACTGGAGTGGATTGGAATAAAAAATTTTCTCGATCATCTACCGAAACCACTTTGTATAATAGCGCATAATGGATCAAAGTAGATCTTATCTCTTATCATTTAATCGATAATAAAATTTATTTTCTTCCAGAATTTTTTTTTATATTTTTGTATTATATATTTATTTTTTTAAATAGCAATTAGGTAATAAAATTATTTTTTTGTTCTGTTTTCACATTTCAGATTGACTTAAAATATTTTTTAAGGTTTGATTTTCGAGTGCTTCATGCTGAATTGGAAAGATGTGACTTATTAAAAATGAGTCCCATACCTAATTCGGTAAGTTATTAAAATATATAATTTTACGCATTTCAATTTTGTTTTTTTGAATTATGTTATGTTATGTTGCAGGTTTATTTTCTTGATTCCTATCTTATGTTTGTGGATCTCGATAAAAAATTTCATGATGAATGCCGCTTTTTTACGCAATTAGTGGATTGGAATTCTTGTAATTATTTTTTCTTTTTATCTTTTTATCTTTAATTTTTAATTTTAATATTATTTTTTTCTCTTTCTTTTAAATTATCAAAATTTTAATAAATATATTTTCCTTTCAGTGATGGCTTTTTCATCGACTCAACCGCTTGAATTTAATGATATGGATATGGTTTATTCGTCTCCTAGTGAATGCTGTAGTGATGTTAACTTAATTGATGAATGTAGTGTTGGTAGTAATGCTGGCGATGAAGATAATAGTGATGAAGAAATACGTTGCGTGGAAATACGAAAAACACGAAACCCAACTTGTGGAACCTCACTTTCGAATACCACGTATAATTAAATTTTTTAAATACTAAAATTATATTAACGAAATGAAAAAATCACTTATCCCACAATCGTCATTTTCATTCGTCGTAACATTTCCTGATACTTTAAATTTCTTTAAAGAACCAATAATTCAATCGTTTTAAATTTTTTATCAAATCTCAACAAAATATTTTTATCAACAAAATATTTTTTATCAGTTCATAAAATCTTTTAGAACACTTAATAATATTCATTCTTAAAATCGTATTTTCGTTTTTCATTTTAAGATGTTAGCTGTTTATACCATTTATATTTATATTAATATGTTTTGAGAAGGCCAAAAAAACGCTCCACTCCAGTCAAAAGCGATCATCCACTTCAGTATATGTGCACTTCAAATTGGCCATCAGCTATAAAGAAAAGAATTCGCCCTACATTTTTTAAGTTGTTTTTTTCACCATTTTATCACCATGTTTTTTTTCTCAAATTTTTATTCTCATAAAATTATTATTTGATCAGATGTTCAATTTTAATAATGATGAAAAGTGGCATTCGTTATTTTAATATTTAATTATGAAATATGTTTTTTTTTTCACTTAGTAAAGTCCATTATTTTTGCCTTAACTGATAACTGCTATCGCATGAAGGTTTTGCTAAGCAATTATTTGAGGATAAACGTACAGAACATGACGAGATTCTTGATAATCACATGGATTTTCATTAGATTTTATTAAATTTCAAGAAAACAATTCGATTGCGATAGTTAAATTTGCAAAATTTTCGACAAATTTTTTATTTTTATATTAAATATTCTTAATAGGCGCTCTAAGGAAGGAAAATGGATTTTCAATGGACATTCATCTTTCCAGTATTTTCATGAGAGAGGAGTATTTAAACTTGATGAAATGTATAAACAGGTTTTTTTTTTAAAATTCATCATACACTTCATTTAGCCATTTTCTTAATAATGGAATTTATTAAAATTTATATTATTATTAAAATATTAAAATAACCTTAGTATCCCACAGTCACATGGTAACCACGATGAGGAGGCAAGGAAGACTGCAGCATCTAAGTATCGAAAACAAATTTTAAAGAGTTAGTTCAATGGGAAGAAAAAAAATCCATGTTATTATTATGTACGCCCTGCCAGTCATCTGCTTCACACCTGGCGAAGTAAGAAGGGCAAAGGAAAAGAGGGGGAGCTGCTGATGTTAAGACCACGAAACTCTTCACAATGCATGGAAATTTCCACGCCAAGCCCAACACACAAAGTCTGTACACCGGCCGGAAAGAAGGCTAGTGGGGCTTAATGAGTATGAAAGTCGCTATCTTGAATAAAACTGGAAGCATTCAGAAATATATCAACGGGATTAGTACCAAGGATGAACTGCTGAGAGAACTGTCTGAAGCATATACAAAACATTGGTAAACGATATTATTACAATTTTAGATTTTTTAAAAATTAGATATTCATTTAATTCCATTCGTTCACTATTTCTTACTTATTTTTAGATTACCGGTCGCGAATTTGATGCGCATTATGCACATAGCGATTGCGAAGCTTTGCTACAAATTTGTCTCGCTTATGGTGAAGATTTTTTGAAATATGCTGATAAGTATGCTTTTCGATGTCCATTTTAATTATTTCTTCATTGGATAATTAAAAATTGATATAATTTTTGATATTTAAAATTCGATATTTCTTTATATTTCATTAATTATTTGTATATTTTCGATATTTCATAATAAGTACCATTTGTACCATTTTTCCAAGTACCATCTACGAATATCTCGCATTATTATTATATTTTTTCCTCTCAGCTAATATAATTTAAGGTAAAAGCCTTTTATTGTATAAACTACTTATTATATTAAAATATCCTCATAGCTATTGATTAGTTTTCGCTTCGTATTGACTTTTTAAATTTTCTTATTCGTATATATTTGTAATTAAAATATGTATTTTATTTAAAAAAAAAATTCAATTTGGTTAAAAAAATATGAACAATTTATTCGATTCATAACGAAAAAATTTAGATTAAAATGAAAAGGGAAAAATTAGCAAATGCCTTTCGACATTAAATATATTTGTTTGCTTAGAAAAAGAAATTTGAGGTGATTTTTTTTTAATGCTTCGAATAATCGTTGTTTATATAGGTATTCATTCAGTTTTTTAATGGAAAATAAAAACAATGATAACTTATCGTCAATACGGATGAATAAGTCGAACAACTGAACCATTGAAAATTGAGAGAAAAAGGATTTCGCGGAGACCAATCACCATAGTAATTATTCATTTCAAGTCGCTTTGGATTTATTATCCACTAATACCTTTTTTTATGGAAATCACCTGTCAATAACTGAGGAAAACTTCAGTAGATTGTTAATCAGAAAATCTTTTTCTCAAAATGAGTCATACTTATCATATTTTTGGTTTACCACTATCTCGTCCAGAAAATCATCGTGGTTTAACGAAAATAATTGAAATATTAAAATATGCTCGTGGAATTTCAATAAAGATGGAATTTCAAAGAATATTTACATTTATAAGTCAGCTGAACAGTTGCCAAGGCCATATCTTCCATAATTTAGAAGTTTCTTTTGACTTAGTTGTCGAATTTTCATTCGCTCCCCTTATAGATTTAAGGAAAGTTTCCCTTTGTCCACTCAGTCTAGTCCATTTTTCACTTGTGCACCAAAGTTTCTCTCGAAACTGTTTATCCATTACTCCACTGCACCAAGGCTGTTCTTTCCTTTCTCGACTGAAATGCAAATGCAAACTTTCAAATGTTCTTTGAGATGATAAATTAATTTATAAGCAATAAAGATAGGAAATTTAAAATTTTCTTACTCTATAAATATTCCGTTAGTTTCCGCCATTTCCGGGTCCGCCAAAGCGTAAACTACTGGGCGTACAGCTTTTTCCACTCTACGCTCTCCCATAAAGAAACTGAAAGATTTATGAACCATAATTCTAAAAGAATGAATGGAATTTTCACCAATAAGGCCTTATAAGATTTAAAAACTGCAATTTCTGAACTTTTAAGGTGAACAATATCTGTATTTGTAAACATCTGTATTTTCATACCTGACAGGTTTAATTAACAAACGGCTAAGGAAGAACGATTGAGATGGCATTTTGCTAGATAAAGCCGTTTTTGTTCGACCTGGATCAGCCATTGTTACTACCACATTTGTATCTACAAAAAAAAATAAATTGACGAATTTTCAATGATAAACGGTCAAAATTCATTTCAAAAATTAATTTGAATTAAAATTAATCGTAGAACGCATCCTTTTTCTTGCGACTCACAATTTTTTTAGCAAATAACTGGATAAAAATAAAAGGAGAGATAAGAAAAAAGCAAAGTGAAGAAGTACCTTTTACCCTTTCTGAAAGTTCTTTAGCAAAAGCTGCTAGTGCAAGCTTACTTTCTTTGTACACATTGTAACCATCCCATTTTTTACAATGCTCGGAATTGAAATCATCGAGATTTACCTCACATCTAAACGAAAATGTTAATAAAATTACCACTCTGCAAAATAAAAACGTTAAACCAAATTACGTCTGAGAGATAACGTCTAAGCCACTTGAAAAAAAAATTGTTCAAAATAATAATTTTTAAGAAAAAAAATGTAAAAAGGCCAAAACAAACTTTCGATCAATTACATTTGTGCCTACAAAAACAATACGACAAGGATTAGTCTGAGCGAACAATTTGTCGAGAATTAGGGCGGTCAACAAAAATGGACCGAGATAATTTGTGGCCAATGTTCGTTCTATTCCGTCCTAAAATCCAAACATGCCTTCAAAATCTCCTTTTAAAAAAGACTTAAAATTTTATTATTTTATATTATTTAGCTTATTTTAAATTAAAATGCAAATGATCTATAAAAACCTTATTAACAGTACGTGTTGGTTCCATTGTTGCAGCATTGTGCACAATACCATCTATTCGATCAATTTTGAACTTACCTAAAGACAAATTTTTATGAAAGAAAGAATTTTTAGTCAAAATCACAATACATCATTCGAAAACCCTACAAAAGAGCACATTTTACAAGAATCTTTCTTCACTTTAAAAAATAGCAAACACTCATAAAATGATATGAGATATACGATCTCAGAGAAAAAAAGATCAATGCTTTCGTGAAGAACAGTTGGTTATACAACTCGACATAATTCACAACTAAGCAAAAAGTAGAAAATGATTATTAAACTATCGATATAGTAGAGCTTCGAGTAGACTAAAGTCAAGGACCACAGATTAAATTCCTAGCCCATGAAGGAAGCAAGCCTGTTATTAAATCCAGATAGTGTTGGAAAACTATTTTACTCTATCTCGAAATGATCGCATAACACTGATAGGCCAAATCAAAATTGGTGTCTAATATTAGAAAAACTAAAACAAAAAAACAAAAAATTTTTATCAATATTGTTGATAACCTTCCTTTGAAATGAATGAAATTTTTAACTCCTGATAATATATAATAGATATAATGAAATTTCAATAAAGATCAACCTGAATATAATTTTTCAACAAACATTCGTACAGAGTCGAAATCTTCCAAATCGCAGTGTCTGCAGAATACTTGCTTATTTCGCGTATTTAGTACGATATCACGGCGAACTTTTATACATTTTTCTCGATTTCTTAAATTATGATAAATTAGGCTAAGCAGGCAATATTAAATGATAATAAGGACGGCGAAAATTGCGAAAAAAATTAAATCAGTATATTTAGTTGAGGGTTATGGTTAGTGTTCTATGTAAACATAGCGCTTTAGATGGCCTTCTACGTAAAGCCTAATTCTATGAAAAAATGCGTAAAAGGTTATTTAAAAAGTCTTATAATCTTTTTTTATAAATAATGATTGATCATATCGTTCTCAGCATAATCGATCAAATAATATAGAATGGCAAAAATGACAAACCTACAAGCCATTATAATCCTTGCATTGTGCTTCGAAAGCTCTTCGCAAGTAGATCGTCCAATGCCAGAAGTTGCACCAGTCACTATAAAAGTTTTTCCAGTGAGATCCTCGTTAAGTTCATATGGTGCACCAGATTGCGTTATACTGAAATGATTTAATTGATAAAATTGATATATTAAGAAATTAAAAGCATAATACATAGAAGAAAATTTTCTCCTTAATATCGACATTTCCATTTTATAATAAAATTTAAACTATATTTCAAAATTTTTATGATAAAATTATTGAGAAAAAATAGTCCTTCATTAATTCTTTCCTAAAAAATTAAAGGATAATTTTATCGACGACGTGATAAAAAAAAAAAGACCAATTCTGAAATGAAAGCAAAGGAATTATGGTCTACTTTCCTTCATAACGAATTTTATAATAACATGAAATGATCCGCCGTATTTCATCAACTCATTATTATTTATTTAAGAATTTTGCAAATAATAAATTGTAAATTTATCTATTATTTGAATAAAATTAAACAAAATGACTAATTCCATATTTATATTTTTCAATCCAAATAAACCTTTATCGGAAAAAACGCTTTCCTTCTTCTCTTGAAATATAAACATACATGAAAAATTTATAAATGACTGAATTGGGTAGAAATTAAGAGAACCTTTCGAAATGAGATGAAACACGGCGTTTTATGATACCACTTTATTCTCACCAAAATAATGACCATACAACCCTCACCATCATTCTAAATTGTCTTTCTTCGAAAAGTGTCTTTTGAAAATATAAGTAAAATAATGCTTGGATTCGAATGCGCTAATACTATTCGTAGCACTCCTCGCCTTGCGGTAATATTCGCCTAACAGAGAAAAACAAAGAAGAGAACTTTGAGAGGGTTTTTCTGAATATTGGATTCGTGATTTGTTAATTTGATAATATCAACGATATTGTTGACATTTTGTAATTTATAAATAGGCAAAATAGGCTTTATTATTATAAATTATAAATTTTTTATTCAAAAACCACAAATTTCAAAAATACCATTGAAAATTCCAAAAACAAAATCATCGAATTTGTGGAATTAAATCTAAATTTAGCGCACATCTAAAAAAGTAAAATCCTCTCTTTAAATCATAAAAAACATCAATTTAATAGGTGACTAAAAAAAAAAAAGACCACCAACTCAATCAAATTATAAATGCCATAAGAAACACCAAATGCCGAGAACGCCAGGGACCACGGTGACGTTAGACCAGCGACAATCCGTCGCATAAACTGTCCTTTGAACATTTTTAGTTCCTTCCTTCCTGAATTTTCAAAAATAACAAAAATCTCTAAATCAACTTAAAATAAAATATATTCAAAAATGATAAATTATAACTCTCTTCTCCCAAATTGAAAAAACCCACCTTAACTCGTTTGTGCTATGTATTTAAAAAATAATAAACTACAACATTCCTCTCCCAGAATGAAAAGATCCACCTTTATTCATTTGTGATCTACAAGTGTATATTCAAAAATGACGACATCGCTAAACTACATCGCTTATCAATTGTCCTCATCCCCCCCCCCCCCCCCCCCCCCCCCCCCCCCCCCCCCCCCCCCCCCCCCCCTTCCCTCTCCCTCTCTGAAAAAAAGAATGGAAAAACCTTCTCCAATTCTTTTGTGGTCTATATATATGCCTCATATTTTATATTCCATTTTCTATAATGTTAACATTAGCGTTAACATCTGGGAAGCTCAATTAAGAACTGAATTGGTTCCGCTAAATTTTAAACACACAAATAATTTCCTAAATTATACTCCAAGATAGTGAAAAAGAGGAAGCCTCACAGGCTTATTACAGATATCCTAGCAAAACATTTTATCATACCTGCCAGCGCAACTTTTTAAATCAACTACAATTTTTGAAATACTGCTTTAACGATAATAAACAGCTCAAATACATGAAAAAAATAAGAAACAACATTTGTTTCCTTTCAATAATTGCCCTTTATTTACTGAACAAAAATATAAAAACCAAAAAAAATTTTCTAAAAACCAAAAAAAAAGTGAACCAAAACAAAAAAAATAATTAATTAAAACAATCGTTTATGATAATAAAAAACATGACCAGCCATAATAATAATGATAATGAAAATCACTTTTTGGAAAAAATAAGAAATTGAATAGAAAATTTGGTGCGAACTGTTCCCAGATTAGTATAAAAAATTTCAATAATAAATATACAATATATTTTAAAACTTACGAAAGTTATGCAAAAACTTGAAAATATTTTAAAATATGAGACTTATTGTAATTACTTTATAGTTTCCCATAACTCAACAAATTTTAAATAAACAAAACCATCAAATAAAATTCTATTGTTTCAAAATTAAAGAAATGATGAAATTGCTACAAAAACCTTATAATTTAGAAAATAAGCCAAATAGGATTGTCGTGTATTCAATCTACTAGCAACTCGCACTAAAACTTTAAATTATAAATTAACAACAACAGAATAACCACTAAAAATAGATGACATTAAACCAGTTTTTTAGCTTCAAAAAATCCTTTCAAATGGCGCATCTGCCAAGCTCCGGTAACGATAAGAATGGCTGTCTGTGCAATTGACCAGTAGAGCACTCTTGAATTCGTATTTTCACTTGTCTGACGAAATTTCTCTTCCCTTTAATTATGAAACAAATATTTAACTGATATTCAAGTGCACCTATGAAAAAAACGTGGATCCGCTAACGACAATAAATATTTTTTTATTAATAATGAAGTAAAAGAATATTAAATATATATTAACAAAACCTGTATCTCTGATAATTTTGTTCCTTTGATATTTGTTCTACTTGATCTAATAATTGCCTTATACGTAGCTGCAAATCATTTAATTTGTCCTTCGTAGCGATCTAAATGGCTAAGAATTAAAAAATTTTAACATAAATTTTATATGCTTAAAGAAAAGAAAAAAGAAAATGACCAATCAATTCCCAAATAAATGCATAAAAAATAAAATATCAATGAGTTCCCGCAATATCCAGAAAACAGTTTAAATGTCGTTTTTCACCTTTTGTATTCTAGATATCCTTTTCTACTTTCAATTACTTCATTTTATCCTAATATTCCAACGAATAGTGAAGGCACTCTCAAAATGCCATCATTTACAACAGCGGCTCAAAAGCAATGGGCAATGCTGTTATCACTAAGAAGACAAAAAATAAAAAGCTAGCCAATATAAAATTATAGCCAGTTGTTAAAAATTTTCGTTTTTATTGACTTCATAAAAAATTGAGAAAAAATTCTACATTCCATTAAAATCACAAAAAATTCTACATTCAATTAAAATCACAAATCAGTGACCCAGCGCAGAACAGATAATGGATCTAGATATCAACAGGATCCTTGTTAGTGAGAATTTTCATTGCCTTTTTCTATTAACGTAAAGAAATAAATAAATATTCTAAAATCGTTCTAAAATTTGAAAAAGCGATAAAAAGGCAATTCGAACAAAACTTCATGCAATTTTTAGCTATTTCATTGCCGAAACAGGTGAAACGTCGAAAGCATTCGAGCTGTGCTGGATCGTCACTATATGGGACCATAATAATTATTAAAGACTGCATAAAAATGCGAATAAAAACGAATTAATGAAGAAGTATACGAAAAAAAACGATAAAAAAATAACCTGTTCATAATCTTGAGCATGTTCACCTGCTTGAATATCAAGGTGAACTCTTAATTGTGCTCCACTAAACCACGAGGTAGAATTGGAATACAAACAAATTACATGTTCACCAGGCGTATGTGACGTAAATGTAAAACGTCCTTCACTAGTATATAATCTCGAAAGAATTATCTAAAATTCAGAATTTATAAACAATTGCAATAAAATATTAAGAAAATGAGATGCAATACTAGCTGATCAAGCAGATGCACAATAAATATAAAATATCCTTTCATTAATAAACCTTATCTTCGGGATCTTTCACTTCAACATGCATTCCAATATTTGGATATTCTCCATAACCTTTCGTATTTGGATCATACAAAAGTACTTTATAATTCGCTGTTACCATCGTCTCATCCGGAATTTCTTCGATAAAACATTTTCGCTCAGTTTCAGCAATGTGAAAATAAAGACCATTTATAATCGATAGAGGCCAATGTAACAACATTAATCGTGTTAAAAAAATTTCAATTCTTCTAGATAACATGGCCACCAGAATTCACTAAAAAATATAATAAATTTTAAAAATTGAAAAGATAAAATATATTTATAGACAAAATTTACAAAAAAAAATAAACCCTAACTAAGAATTATATCATTTTGATAAAATGATATAAAAGGTATGGAAATGTTGTTCAAACGAAATTCAAAAATCCAGAAACTAAAAAACCAATCTTTTTATTTTGATTTAAATAATAACATAAATAATAACATACAACCTAAAAATTTTTAAGTAGAAATGACAAATAAAATAAATATTATAGAACAAATTATTAAATGCAATAAAAGTTTTTTTAAAAAAATAGACAAATGCATAAAAGAAAAAGCTGAGAGAAATATTTGGTATCAAATAATGCAACAAATATAGTTAAAGCCTGTAAGAAAATAATAAGAATTTCAAGAATAAAGTATACAGAATGAAAACAACGATTGACTAGAATTTAAAAAGCAAATTCAAATATGAAATAAGCAAGAAATACAAAAATATAAAAATTATACGCTAATAAAATACAACAAAATAATATTTTAATAAAAGCCTATTGCTCACACTGCATTGAACGTTAACGAATTAAGAAGTCAAAGACGAAATAGCCTGAAAGTATATGCACAGAATAAAAATGTACCAAACGACATGGGAAGTAAATGCTTATTAGATATTTAAAGCTTAGAATAGATGAATAGATGAATATGTTTAAAAATAAATAAAAGAATATATTATTCAAAAATAGACAGAATGGACAGCATAATTTTAAACAAAAAAACTGTGGCTCGATATGTTGAACAATTTGGGATATGGAGGGCCATTTCATATTTTAATTAGAAAAAAAAGGGAAAAGTTATACCAAGCAAAAAGTTAAGGAAAAAAAATTATAAAAGTTAAAGAGTTATATAGTTTAATTATTTAAGGGATCAAAACAGTATAAGGAAAGAGAACGATATTAAAGCAAAAGGAGAATAGAGAGATGTGATGAAGTTTCACAGAAATACAACGAAGTTTCAAATGGAAGCAAGTTTCGAGAAAGTTATAAGGGGAAATACAGTAGAGCCTGGAGGATGCAGTCCAAGAAAATAATATTGAGTTAGGGCAAAAAAGAACACTGGAAATTGAACCGCAAACCGCGTAGTTGGTTGTCGTCATAAGCACAGTGTAATGCTCGTTAATTGAACAGAACAGGGCTTATTCGCAAGGAGCATTAAAAGAGTGTCTAATGGTGACTGAGAGAAAGAGTCTGGACGATATAGGTTTTTTTACTCAAGCATATACTAACATATTAAATTAAATTAAATTAACATGCAGATGTTTCCTTATGAACATTGGAGATGAATATAACACACAATGAATAACTTTAAAAGAAATATTCTAAAATTACTTAAATTATTAATTACTTAAATGCAATCCTACAAAGATTATCCAAACAGCAAATAAATGTTTGTTGTTAAAGTATCTAAAATTATTTACATTTCTAGGAAAATATTTAATCTTGAAAAAATCTTTAAAGAAAAAAATCTTCACAGGGAATAAAAGAGGTTTCAAGTGGAAAAATATTTTTAAAAAATTTTTTACATGCTGAAAAAATTGGTAACAAAAAATACTTTTTAAAAATATATATTGTCAATCAAATAGGGAGAAACCCGAAACTAGAAAATAGCATTCGATTTCACGAAAAAACTTGAAATGCGTCAAAAAAGATCAAAAATGTGAGATTCAATAGTACTAAAACCAGGCAAGGTAGAAAATATTAAGTAAAAAACCAGTAAAAAATTATTCGTAAATAAATCTAGAAAAATAATCACAAGATAATCAACCATTTTTTAATAAAAGATAATACTAAAATTTTGGCGAATTCTGGAAAACCCAGCGTTGCCTTCGATCGCTTAAATCACAAGGCATTAATGACAGCAAAATTTCTTCCTTTTGTACATTAAATTTAGACCTTGGTATAAGAGCTACACATAAACCACTCTGCATCAATAGACCATTCTTTTCATCAAGTGTCCATTTTTCAGTCACCTGAAGTCAAACAGAAAAGATGTTGCCTTCAAAATATCAAATTAGTTGAAAATGCTAAATCAAACGAAAATCTACTTTTTTGCAATCATCCATTATAATAACTCCATTAACATTAGCGTTCAAACACAACTTCACAAACGGATTTTTTAAATAACCGCTCTTGATAACATAAATCCACTCCTAAAAACAAATAAACTTAAATAAAAAATGCATGAATTAATAAAATATATAGAACCCGAGAATGGATCAGATGAATATGAAATTAAAAAAAGAAAAATAAAATAATTTTCCAAAATACCTGGTTCCCACCAGTTCCATGACATTGAAAAACGCCAACTATAGAATGCACATCTTGTCTACCCAAAGAATCGATGCAATAATTTCCCTGATTAAAAGACAAGTATCTCCCATCTTCTTGAATTGGAACTCTGAAAAAAATGGGGATTGCAAAATTGCAAGAGAGTTGATCAAACTGAATAAATGAGCGAAAAAATACTTTAGCTCTGGATATACTTCTTTCAGATACCAGTCGAAATTTTTGCACTTCATCTTAGCCTTCAGCTCAAGGCGAGAAGAAATACTGAAACGACGAAAATAAAAATCAAAATCAAATGAAAAACCACAATATAGATCATAAACCAGAATAATTTTATAAAATGAATTATATACTACGATTAAAAAGTGAAATTTCTAGAAAATAAGCAATCACACAGCCTACAGCCAACACCAAAATTATTCTTAAACAAGAAAAGACCAACTCTCCGAAATTGACGTAGCGAGCAGATGGCACTTGCTTTAAATAAAGATTTTTATAATCATCAAGCCACACTTCAGCTGCTCTCCTCGTATTTCTGTAATAATATAAACAGAAATACACCTAATAAACTTGTTATTTCAATGGATTTAGTTCTTCAAAGAAAATCATAATTGGAACCTTTGAAAAACATTGCCACTTCCGCCGGGGAAAGTATAGGGATGCTGCTTTCGAAAAACATGCCCAACTCTGCTGCATGGGATTATTTCCAATGATCCTCCACACTGCCAAACACGAAAAGACATTTCTAGAAAATAAGCAATCACACAGCCTAAAGCCAACACCAAAATTATTCTTAAAAATGGTGCAAATGCTTGAAATTATTTCCAGAATTTTCTTTCTGCAGTTATTCGGTTATAATTGCCAGATGAAAAGATGAACTGATATGGTTTAATGACTGTGAAAGCTCATAAAACGAAGAAACCGAGATTTTCTCCACCCCATACGTCCATTTGTTCATCATAAGTCCCCAGAGTTATAAACCACTGCTTGTCAATCATAAAAAGACCGCCTGCCATAACTGGAGACCTGTAAGTAATATAGAAGATATCCTTTTACTGCAATGCATTAAAATTTTATGAAACTTTGCTTTTCTGCTCATTCAAAATGAATTAATGATGTATACGGTTTTTGCAAAACAATATTACTTTATTGGTGCATCTGGATGCGAACGACGGAAATCGCGCATTTTTGGAGAAAGATATTCCCATTTGAAAACAAGATTCCACTCAAAACCTGGAAATTGGTCGTATCAAGACCAATATTTCCTAATGAACGACTCACGAACCCTTTAAAATCCATTTAGAAGCTCTGTAGATTAAAATTTTCGTAATAATATCACAATTTTTTTTCCTTTCATATTGCCAAACATTAAAGATACAAAATTTTTTTCTTTTTTTTGAAAAATATGGTTGGTTACGAAAAATGCTTTCAGATTAATAGATAGCCTTTATTAAAATTATTTTTAGGCAATTAATGAATGATTATTATAAAAATTTCTCAGTTTTGATCTCTAATATGGTCAATATTAGTTCATATAATCCACCAAACGTTCCAAGAAATATTCAACAACTTTTTGAAAGTTTAAGTTCTTGAGAGCAAAGTCGGAAGAACGCCACTGACTTAGATCGGTCTATGAGAAACGAGAAATAAAAATGTTAACGAATAACACTGATTTCACAAACCTCCTCGCAAATCAGCGCTTGCAGCAATATAATTAAAAGTGTCTAGATTAATTACATCGATTACAGGTGCAACGACTGCTTTTGGATTTTCTTGAACTCGTTGCAAAAGTGGCTCAAGCCACTTGACATTACACTCACAATGGCTATCCAGGAAGGTTAATACAGGTGCACGAGCGATGCTAGCTCCTTTCACGCGTGATCGAATCAAACCTAAAATAAATAAGTAGAATATTTGAAAGTATATGTTAAAAAGATTAAGAAAAATTTTTTCCCCATTTACAGCTATGCATTATTTACAAGAAAAAAAGTACAATAGGCTGAAAATTTTCGCAAAATTTTTAAAAAAATTGTAAATCTATCTAAAAAATAAATAAATATTAAAATGCAAAGATTTTTAATTCTCCTAACCTTCCCTTTTGGTGTTCCTAATGACCACCAACTTCTTGATTTTTGTAAGATCTTTCCCAATAGTATCTACAAACAGCAGTAATTTAAATTTGAAGCAATAAAACTGGACAGAAAGAAATGTGCTGAAAGGGTTCAACTCATGCATGTTTCCAACAAGAGTAGGCCTGTTAATAAAAACACGAGTGGTGGTGGCCAATTACTTGTATTTCTATTAGCAACTGATTCTCTGGAAATTTCTGACCGTAATAACAACCGGCGGAGCGAACCTAATCAGAAACACTAACAAACAACTTGATCCCTTTTTTTTACAGCAAAATTCCATAAATGGTTTCATTTAAAAAGTGCCAAAAGCCAAACAGCAACAAATTAACCATACCGTCAGCAGAAAAATCATCAACGAGAATAATTTCCTGTAGCAATTCAGGTGGAGACCTATTAAGCGCACTAATTATAGTTCGCAATAGCGTAGAACGTGCTTCATTATGATAAGTGATAATGATGGATGTGGCCGGCAAAGAGTCTGGATAATTGATAGAGCGACATCTGCAAAGTTACAACTGTTCAATAATTTTCACTTTTTAAAATATATAACTTTAAAAAAAAATGAAAAATCTTTTTAAAATTCAAGCTTTTGGCATTTCGTGAAATTACTATATTCAAAGGTTTACTTTGGTTCACGAGAATCAGCAATTTCTCGATCCCATCTAACAGCATCACTAGCTGCTTGATTAAATTTATTAGCAGAATATCTACAAAAAAAAACTTCATTACGCTCAAGTCAAACAACTGTAGGTCTAAAAAAATTTAACATAAATGAAAAAAATCTAAAAATCTAAAATTAAAAAAGAAAAATTCCAACCGATCTTCGCCAGCTTTCAACGCTCCTTTTTTTAAATATTCATTGTGATCGAAATCTTGCCAATCTACTGAATCTTTTGAAATCGGATATATTATTGCATCGTTCAATGTTATCTTAAACGCCAGAGAAGGATCGATAGAGACAAATTTCTCCTTTAATAAATTAAATTAAATTAAAAAAACTAAATTTGAAATCAAATAAATGTGAAATACTGATAAAAATATTAAAATCTTAAAAGAAAATACCGCTTTTTTTCGTCCACTAATATCATGAATTGAAAACGATGCGGATTCCGAAAAACTAAAATATACTAAATAAATCAGTGTAGCCGACCAAATAATAAATAATATTGCGATTACCCATTTCATACGGCACTTGATCATATTTTGCCTGAAAAAAGAAAATCACTCAATCGACAGATTCAATAAGATTTCAAGCTACAATTACAATCTACAAATTATAAATTTTAAGTTCAAAAAAACACAAACCTTTATCTTTGAAGCGAATTAATTATCAACACTTATAAATGTGAACCAAAAATGCCATTGAAAATGTCTATAAATCGTATCATTCTATTTCAAAAAATTAAAAAATTAAAAAAAATTAAAAAAATTAAAATTAAATTAAAATTAGAAATTAAAAATACATTTATAATGACAAAAAGATGAAATTAAAGATAAAGATAAAAGATAAAAATATTTCAATGAAAAGAGCATTCATTAGAATTTTTTACAAAAATTTATTCGAAAATAAAAATTTATTCAAAAAATAAATAAAATAAAAACAATAAATTTTAATATTCAACAAATTTTAACATTCAAAAAATAAAAAAATAATAATTAAAAAAAACAAATAAAATACTTCAATCAAACTATGAGATCAATTTATATTAAAATTATATAACTGAGCATTTATCAAAAGATAAAATTTCGATTATCACAAATAAGGACAAAACGAAACTATCGAATTTCTACATTATAAATATCAACAAGCTTTCGTTCAATTGCTTTATGCACAATGTTTGCTTCATTTTTAGTTAACGCTCGTTCATTACTTCGATAAACAATTCGATACGTATGACTCAACCGACCCAATTTATTGGTAAAAGAATCGATTAAATTCACCTTCAAATTTGGATTATCAGTTATATGATAAGACTAATATTTCAAAAATATTGAAATAATTAAACAATACCTGCTCGACAAGAGAACCACCCAAAGATCGAATAATATCATACGTATCCGATGTGATCTGACTTGCCATTACAGTATCTGGCAGCCAGAAAGAGAGATCGTTAATTAATTGAGGATGAACGCTGATAGGCCTAACTTTGAAACGATCCGACGGTGATTTATCAACAAACTGCGAAAGAAAACCAGAATCGTTTGTCCAAAATAAACGAATATCTTTAATATCATACAAAACCTAAATTAGGTACAAATTATACAACACAAACAACAGGATGACCAAACCACAAGCAATAAATTTTAAAAAAAATGTCTAGGATATACCATTGCCAGTCGTTCAACGCCAATACCGAACGCCCACCCAACTTTGTTAAATACATTCGATGATTCAAGCAATTTCTGTTCCATAACACCGCATCCCAGTACTTCTAACCATTCACCTTCGTAAAAAATTTCTAACTCAAATGATGGATGTGTGAATGGAAAGTATGCATCAAGCCATCGCATTTCAATAGCTTCGCCAAATATATGCCGACAAAGCACTTCCAAGGCACTCTTAAATGAAAAAAATCATTGAATAAACGACAACACAACAGATTCATAAGATCAAAAAAGTATAAAATGAAAATACCAGTATAAATACTTCGAAACTCAGTAATTTTCTGATATAATGCCTTGAATGAACAACATGGGTTCGATTTCCATCATGATGAGAGAATTTGGGCAAAAAAAAGGGCAAACTGCTGTGAAAAGTAAAATGTGGTGGGCGATGTGGCATATTTGTACTTTTAGGGAGTGAATAAAAAAAATCATCCAGGGCTTCAAACAAGGCTTGCAAACTTCAAATCTGTTTTTCAGCCAAAATATCATGAAGGAATATCCAGCTGATTCGATGAAATATCTCAACGAAGATATTCCAAAGACTTTGGTTGCCACTCACCCCAACCAAAATTTTGCAAATTGCAGAACCGTGATTTACGAGCATGCACAATGTTGTAATATGTCGTAAAGACGCCTGAGAGAAATATTTTCTTATCGAAATCTCTTAGTGTAATAAATTATTACAATTCTTACTTTTAATTTTTCCGTGACAGCTTTAGCTGTAATAATTTTATGATGTTCTTGTTTTTCACTCGTTCTTACTCCATTTTCAAAAAGAGAAGCCTAAAAAATATGAAATTACAAAAATTTGAAATTGTTTAAAAAGAATAGAAATAAAGAAAATGTCAAGAAAAAAAATTGAAAAATTGAGTTGAAAAATTTCGAAAATAGATCAAATGCGAGTAAAAATTCCAGTATTAAAAGAGTACTAACATTAACTTCTTCAAAAAAAAAAACAAAAAATGATTTAAAAAATTAACATTGGAACCGTTGAAAATCTGTTCAGAAGAATATAAACAGACTCCTTCAATTTGATGAAATGAAGGAAAATGAGTTCTATCAATTTGGTCTCTTCGATATACATCACCAATAATCAAAAATCTTTCCAAACCTTAATGCAGAAATATTTCAATTATTTCATTATTTAGTAAAATAAGGTTACACACAAAAATACCTTACAAATCTGTGGCGAAAAGAGAGGAAATTTTAAATTTTAATTAAATACAAATTAAATACAAATAAGGATTACCCTGCTTCAGAAATTCATATTGGTGGGCTGATGTATGAGACCTAAGACAAAAATCTTTATTAATATAATAATTATCCGATCTACTTCTGCAAACATGATCCTTTGCAATTAAAAGTGAATCAAAATTTTCAGATACGCTGACAACACGTCGAACGTCATCTTTAACCACGTATCGACAACCTAAAGTTAAAAAATTTTGGTAGTCTAATCTTCATTCTTATAAAATTTATAAAAATAATTCAAGCAATTTAATTGAAAAAGAAAAGAAAATGAATAGTCATAAAGCCATTCAACTGTAAAAATAATTAGTATTTTAACGAGCTTGAGAGTTTAGAAAAAGTCCTGAGGAACTATGGAATAGCAAAATAGCAAAAGCGGAGTAAAAAGAAATATAAGGCAGCTAACGAAAATATAACGAGCAATAAGATTTAGCAAAAAAAGCACATCGAGTCTGAGCATGAAAGCGATACCTTCGACAGGTGTCGAGGGCCGTCTTAAACATGCGCAGGTTGTTAAAAAGGCACAGCGGGGTGCGAAGAACAATTAAGTAAATTCTGCATGGTGTTACTAACGAATTTCGTTACTAACAACTGGAAAGAATTTGCACAAAATATGGCAAATTCTCGAGAAAATAGATGAGTTTTTTTTTCGCGCAATTCGCGCATACTAACACACCAAATTAATCACATAAATCTTTTTATACTAATAATATCAATGAAATGTTAAGGACCGTTTTTAACTCCATACTGACCTGAAGTGAAAGAATTCGGCGTAACGATAGCATTAAAAATTTGCTATTACCTTCATCTCGAATTACATTCTGCATGCATTCCACAATAAAATCTTTTAATAAAGTGATAGGATTTTTAGGTTGTTGAAAAAGTTTTCGCTCAAGTAAACTGATGATCGCTGGCGAAATATTCCAAAATTCATCGGTTTTAAGATTGAGTCCTAAAAAAAAATTAAATAAATAAATATATTTATTTATATCTCTGATTTATTTCAATTAAAAATAATATATACTTATAGTATTTACAATCGAAATCTAACAATTTGAGATGCCTAAAGCATTTTTATAAAGTATATTTTTTTTATTATTATTATATTTTATTATAATTGAAAAATAAATTTTCAAAAAACTAAGGCCAATTTACCGTCAATTGCAAAATAGTCAGGACGAATAAAACATTTCTTAATATTCTCAACCTTTTCGCAAATTGATAATTTCCTTTTTATTGGTATATTTTTTAAATATGGTTTTAGAATACATTTATATACCATCTAAAATTTTTTTGTTTTGAATAAAAATATATTAAATAATAATAAATAATAATAAAAATAAAAATCAATAAAAAGCGATTGAATGAATTTCGAAAGACAAAAAAAAAAAAAAAAAAAGAACTGAAACGCTTATGTTGTGCGAAATTCGTCATTAACAATGATAATATATCAACGAATATTTTTACTGTTAATTATTTAAATATAAACCAAACAAATCGTACAACCAAATTGAAATTAAGGCTGTAACCTTTTTTTTTTATTATAAAATACCAAAAAAAAAAAAAAACCATTTAGGATCAGCGAAAAACAATAGAAAAAAGCAGACACCAAGGACTATCAACGTTTTCCTTTCAACTTTTACAGCATAAAAAAATAAGATCGAGTCTTCATTTGATTGACTGAACGAGTCCGAACCCAATCAATAATATTAAATAACTAAAAAATTCGAGAAATTGCTGAAAAAAAAAAGAAGAAACGGTTCGAATTATGAGAAATTAAACCCCAAATAATAGTTTGTTCTAATGGAACTGAAGTTTCTTAGAAGAACTCAACTGATTCAATGATATAAATCATCACAACGAGTAAAAATAACAAGTAAAATCCACTAACTGGTTGAAACATCCTCTCGCTCGATACTTTTTACTTTTTATTCCCAAGTAAATCTATCGCTTTTGCCTTTATCCTCAAATAATTCTCTCTAAGGTCAAATAATTTTTATCATTTTTATCACTGTTTATAAGAAATTTCTACAATAAAAAATTATTATTCAAATAGTGAATATTATCGATAAAATTGAAAATTATCAGTAAAATTAAATTTTGAGTTAAATTTTGAGTTGAGTTTTGATAAAAGAAAAAATAAGACGATTTACTAAAAAATAATTTTTTTAATATTTATAAGCTGAGATTTTGTCGTTTCATCGTTAGACAATTATTAGACGGGGTAAGACGGGGTTAGACGGGGTTTTTCGAAAACCCCCCTTCCCTCTAAAATTGATGTTTCATTGGTACTTCTATCGTTAATTGAATAAATTTCTTTGGCAAAAATTTTTATCTAATCAAATAAAATAAATTTGAAAAATAAGTAAATAAATGTGAAAAATAAATGTATCAAAATATTTCTTAATAATTCAATAAGACGGACGATAAACACCCAATCAACCTTTGTTGAATTCTTCCTCGTCAAAAATTGTTGAATTATAACCACTAAATTGCAGCTTTACACGTGTAGTGCAATAAGTTCTGCCGAGATTTTAGAAAATTATTTGAAGGTAGAGAGAGATTTGAAAGTTTTGATGAAACAAATGGGTGAAAAAGGATGAAAGCATGGAGAAAGGAAAACTGCATGCAAAACTTAAAACTGAATTCTCTGAGGCGTTAATTTGGTGCATGCAAAACTTGGAAATGCAGTATGGGGGGAGGGACCGTAGTTTAATGCATGCAAAACTTGGAAATGCAGTATGTGGGGGTGCCGTAGTTTAATACATGCAAAACTTGAAATTACATCCTACTGGATCGAACTTCGCTGCATCCAAAAGTTAAAACTACAATCTATTTAAGGCAAAATTCGATGCTTTTTCTTCGTACTTAATTTTTTTTGTTTTCGTTCCAGAAATTTATGGAATGGATTCGATTAAAAAATAATAAAGGATTTGATTTTTTTTTTTCAACAAAATCAAAATATTTATTTTTTATATATAAATATTTATTTTCATGAGATTTCTGTAAAGAATTTGCTCATTCTTATAGAAAAATTAAATATTTGTAATTTTAACGATTTAAGAAACTGGAAAGAAACTCCCTTATTGAATTATCAATCACTGCTTTTAATAATTATCAGAGTGATAAAACTGAAATTCGACATTTGTTACGAATAAATCTGCTAATTTTTATTAAAAATTGTAATGCTATTGATAATTCATAATTATAATTATATTTTTTATCATCGAGTAAAAAATTTTCTTGAAAAATTTATTAGTACTGATAAGCCAGCGGAATTAATTTAACCAGAAATGACGAAGAAAAAAATAAAAATGAAAAATTTCGAGGATTTAACAATGTTCTATTGTTAATATTATAAAAACTTTTTTTTAAAAAAAAAAATCCTTTTAATGTTTACAAAATGAAGCCGTAAGCAGTTTTATTTGCTTTTGTTCTATTAATTTTAATGATAAATTGAAGATAACAAAAATTTTCACTTATCAATCCACGCATTTTTGCTTAATTTCGGGATATTCAGGAAATCAAATAGTTCTCTTTTTCTTAGTTGCATATAACATTTCTGATTTGAACTAATTCTTCCCCGCTGAAGGAAAAGAAAAGGAATCTTCTAGAGAAGAGAAAAAAAATTTGGAAAAATTAAGGACTACATGAACTGTTTAGATGATCGCAGAGCTACAAGAGAATCAATATAGAATATAAAAATTTATTATTTTAAAAAATTATCACATTATCATTAGTTTTATTATTAAAAATTATTATTACTTTATTATTATTATTATCATTATATTATTATTATTATTATTATTATTATTATTATTATTATTATTATTATTATTATTATTATTATTATTATTATTATTATTATTATTATTATTATTATTATTATTATTATTATTATTATTATTATTGTTATTATTATTATTACTTTATTATTATTATCCATCATTATTATTATTAGCAATTATTATTACTTTCTTGAGTCCATTTCTTATTTGCCTTTCAGAACTTTTTGAATAAGTGTAATTGGGCCAGAGGACTTAACAAGCTTATCAAGGAAGCTATGAGACAAACAAAGTTAAGAGCCAATGGGTTAACTGATCGTTTTAGAAAAGAAAGTTTTGTCCATTTTCCAATTTTTGTTTTTTAAACGATTTAGCAAATACTCGATTAATTATCACTCTGCGATCTACGCATAGATAGATCTCAGTAGTCCTGAAAATAGTCTATGAAAATTTTACCTAAAAGTCTTTAAGTTATCGAGCCATGTCAATGAGTTTCATTCCTTGTTCTTGACAGTATAGCTTTTATAGAAAATGAAATTCGAACGGTGCTAGAAATCCATATGATCTGTACGTATGTGACGTATCTGTACGTATCTGTACGTATGTAATTGTGGTCTTCAAATGGCTCATTTGAATATCACAATTTAGATGAATGGGTTCAGCCAAACTAGAAAACTGATAAGTGTTATTGGAAAATATTAGAAAAAAAATTTTTAGAAATGATAAATGGTTGGAAAATAATCGGCTTGCATTGGTGTTTAGTGAATTTTCAAATTTTCCTAAATAAAAGAAAATTCTTAAAATTCTGTTTGTGTTTGAAATTTCCAGATATTTTTTAAAAAAAAAAAAATCTTAATCCAGAAAAAGAAAAAAATCAATGAATTTTCGCATTTTAGACGAATTGAAAAACCTCTTAAAGAATCTACTGATCTACTTAGAAAGCACGAATTGGTCTTCTTTAAGATACAAATTGGCCCACTTAGAGGCATGAATTGGCCTTCTTAGAGACATGAATTGTTCCATTTATAGATATGAATTGAGTATAACTCTGATTAAAAGAAATTAGACAATTTTTTTAATGATTACTAAGGAGGTATTTTAGAATTTGATTGGCGATTTATTTTGGAGAATTCTCGTTTTATGCTTAAAAATTAGAATTATTGTGTTAACAGCCAAGAATATCATAAATTTTTATTAATTCGTAATTTTTCCGCATCACTTTACGATTATCAGCGAATAGTTCCACATTAAACAAATTCATGATATGTAGATATGATATGTTAGCGCTTTATCTTCCATATAGTTTGGTTATTTCAAGCCATTTTGAATCATTCATTGTCCTTATCCCCAAGAGGATTTATATTCATATTTCAGGCCATTTTGAATCATTCATTGTCCTTTTCCTCAATAGAATTCATAATCTATTTTTCACTTTTGTTCTTAATGGTTTACATGTTTTTGCCATTAATGTAATTAAGAATTTGAAATTGTAAACATAATTAAGGTTTTCCATTGAAGAAATTTTATTCTTTTAAAATTTTACTTCATAATCTTTTTTTTTTTTTTTCAAGGACTTATTTAAAATTTATGTAAGTAGATTAAGAATGGTTCAGTGGGTTTTTGGTATTGTTTCGGAGCGACGAGGCTGAGGTTCTATTTCGAGGAGGATTAAATGCGTCTTTTAAAAAATCCGAGTGTTGCTAGCAACTCACTCTCTATCACCAAATCACTTTAACTAGGAATGGTGAAATCGTTTTTAGGAAAAAAAAACTGTCATAAATTAGATAGGTCGATTATTTCGAAGTACATTAGTTGAAATACAATTTTTTTTTCAATCAGGTTTAAAACCTTAGACTTCTTTTGTAAGGTGAAATTTCCAGTTTTTTTCTGTTTTAATGTTTTTTCTTCCTTTTTTCTCTGGTCATTTGATGAAAATATAAGTAAGCGGTTAGCGCTTATCATTTCTTCCTAGGCTTCCCCTATCTGATTGTTAGTTTTTAAACTTAAAAATTTTTATCAAAAATTCACTTTATTAGAAATATTTATAAGAAAATCACTTTATTAAAAATATAGAAATGCAAATTAGGTCGCTAGCATCTGGATTTTTGAAAAATGAATCGACTTCTGCTAGGATATAACTTCAGAATTCCCGAAATGAGAGCAATAACAACTATTATTTAAAGCTATTCTATTTCCAAAATCTGATCCAGAATTTTAGATTTTTTAGTTTCTTCGTCTTAATAACATACTGAAAGTTCCATTCCTCTTCTGATATACTTTTTTTCACCATGTTGTGTCTGCGATAATTAAATCTTTACTGCTAAACTAACAAAGTTGAATTAAAATAAATTTTAAATCTAAAATTTATTTAGATTTAAATTTACTTGAAATTATCAAATAATATCTCTTATCTTGCATTTTTTATTAGAACTCGCTAGCGGAATGATAATATTCTTTTTTTACAAGCCCTCATCATTATTGGTTAGATTTGCTCCGCTGGCCTGTCGTAGATAAATATGCCAGAGTCTCTTGACGATAGAAGTACAGGTGAGTCGCCAACATTACCCGAATTTTTGGACAGGTTTACTCCTGTAGGGAGTAGAACCTGAGCATCAGCGCTCCAAATGATATTAATGTTATGACTGAATCGCATATTGCTCAAATTCTTGCTTAGATTTTGGTCTCTCAATCGGAATGCGAATGCCGATATAATCGAAATGATTCGGTTGATTGTTGATAAATCATTTAAATCTTTATCAATACTTTGCTTTCTAGCGAAAAATTCTCCAATTATTAAAATTATTTAACAATTATTAAAATCAGCCAAAAATAGAAAAAATTAATAATACTTAATAAAAATAATAATGGTTTTAATAATTTTATATTTGATATTTTATATTTCCATATATTAAATATTTCTTTTTTTTTGAAATAAAATAAAATAATATTATAAATAATGGAAATTCGTTGCATATATATATATATATATATCACTTTTAAATATTTTTTGTTTTATTAACAAAAAATTGAAATTGAATTTATATAAAGTCATATATGATATTATTTATTTATTTATTTTTATAATTTATATAAAATAAATTATTTTCAGAATAAATAAACGGAAAATTGCTGAATG